CGGAGTTTCTTATTTTTTGTTATATAAAAGAATTAACACTGATATTGTGCCGTCGCTGCCCCGGAGGCCGCCTACACATCATACTACAGGTGCATAATTGTTGATAAAAACCCACATATTGTGAAGGACATCCACTCACTTTCCGACAACTCTGGCCTGTTGGCATGGGTGTCCGGGTACAGTGATTGGCATGGGTGCCCTGAATTTTAAATTAAAATTTGCCCCGAGGGGCGAGTTTATTGGGCAGCGCCACTCATCCTCTGAGTGGACACATCGCCATAGTAACAGTATTGGGCAGCGCCACTCGTCCTGTGAGTGGACACACCGCCATAGTGACAGTATTGGGCAGCGTCACTCATCCTGTGAGTGGACACACCGCCATAGTGACAGTATTGGGCAGCGTCACTCATCCTCTGAGTGGACACACCGCCATAGTAACAGTATTGGGCAGCGCCACTCGTCCTGTGAGTGGACACACCGCCAGTGACAGTATTGGGCAGCGTCACTCATCCTGTGAGTGGACACACCGCCATAGTAACAGTATTGGGCAGCGCCACTCGTCCTGTGAGTGGACACACCGCCATAGTGACAGTATTGGGCAGCGTCACTCATCCTGTGAGTGGACACACCGCCATAGTGACAGTATTGGGCAGCGCCACTCGTCCTGTGAGTGGACACACCGCCATAGTGACAGTATTGGACAGCGCCACTCATCCTGTGAGTGGACACACCGCCATAGTGACAGTATTGGGCAGCGCCACTCGTCCTGTGAGTGGACACACCGCCATAGTGACAGTATTGGGCAGCGTCACTCATCCTGTGAGTGGACACACCGCCATAGTGACAGTATTGGACAGCGCCACTCATCCTGTGAGTGGACACACCGCCATAGTGACAGTATTGGGCAGCGCCACTCATCCTGTGAATGGACATACCGCCATAGTGACAGTATTGGGCAACGCCACTCATCCTCTGAGTGGACATACCGCCATAGTGACAGTATTGGGCAGCGTCACTCATCCTGTGAGTGGACACAGCCATATTGACAGTATTGGGCAGCGCCACTCATCCTGTGAGTGGACACACCGCCATAGTGACAGTATTGGGCAGCGTCACTCATCCTGTGAGTGGACATACCGCCATAGTGACAGTATTGGGCAGCGCCACTCATCCTGTGAGTGGACATACCGCCATAGTGACAGTATTGGGCAGCGTCACTCATCCTGTGAGTGAACACACCGCCATAGTGACAGTATTGGGCAGCGCCACTCGTCCTGTGAGTGGACACACCGCCATAGTGACAGTATTGGGCAGCGTCACTCATCTTGTGAGTGGACACACCGCCATAGCAGCATGTACAACACTCCCCAATAGGAAGAAAACCCGCTGGGTTGTTCATCCTGTCACTTGCACCCAAACACAGCTGGGACTTGCTTAACTGTCTCAAGTGAACAGCTCCTCAAACAAGAAGATCTATCAACCCTTAAAAGCTTACGTTATCTTGCGGGTGCAAAATGGGGGAATCTTTTAAGAACATATTTGACAAATAGTGTTTTCCTAACTCAAACAATGTGGGGTTTATTATTCTACAGTTATTCCTAATGTGTCTCAGGTGTTCACATTCACGTAGATAGTGGTCAAGGCGGTGTCCATCACTCTCAACACAGATTCTGCAACTTCACTGATGAACTGTTGCATCCATTCCGAGTCTCCATGGATATTTGTATCCAAGACGGATTCTCGCTATTACTGATTCTCTCCCGCGTCCTCCTCCTCTTCGTCCATAAAGATTGGGATTGCCAGCTGCAACCATGTTGTACCATCGTACAGATTCACTGGTTTGTGCTTCTATCCTCCTTCCCTCAGTTACCTTGTCACGGTGATGTTGCCTGACAATACCTCTAATTTGTAGTAGAGTCTTGGGTATGAAGTATTCAATATAGTCTCCTTCAGCGCCTCCAGCAGCCAGCACATCTGCTCGTTCCCCTGGTACAGTGATTGGCATGGGTGCCCGGGTACAGTGATTGGCACGGGTGCCCGGGTACAGTGATTGGCACGGGTGCCCGGGTACAGTGATTAGCATGGGTGCCCGGGTACAGTGATTGGCATGGGTGCCCGGGTACAGTGATTGGCACGGGTTCCCGGGTACAGTGATTAGCATGGGTGCCCGGGTACAGTGATTGGCACGGGTGCCCGGGTACAGTGATTAGCATGGGTGCCCGGGTACAGTGATTGGCACGGGTTCCCGGGTACAGTGATTAGCATGGGTGCCCGGGTACAGTGATTAGCATGGTTGCCCGGGTACAGTGATTAGCATGGTTGCCTAGGTACAGTGATTGGCATGGGTGCCCGGGTGCAGTAATTGGCCGGGGTTAGTTTAGTTCATTTATTATGCACCTCATACCCATCTTGTGGGCGGTAGTGGAAAGAGTTACAGAGGCACATAATGGGCTCAGAGACTGAACCCCACAATTCATTTAGCTAAGCAAGTTACAATCTTGATGAGCTAGTTACACAATTCAGTGTAAGTCGTCACATCAACAATGGGTTCGAGATCGACCACAAGTACAGTTTCTAAATTAAGCAACTGACATATGTGGAGAGCTAGTGTCACAATTGATATGTTTGTCCTGCACACCGCCCCCCATCCAGTGGGCAGCGGTGGATAGGTTACAATCACTCAGTTACTACCTACAGTTAGCAAACTGGGGATATTTGGCTAAAATTTCTGGTAGCAGATTATTTTGAATGAAATATTTACACATCGTTGGAACATTGGTTATAGAATTGTCTCTGAATTCTCGTATCTTTTCGCACTCCATCACATAGTGACGGAGGGTGTGCGAATAATTTTGTTGACACAGTTTACATTTGGTCAGGTCTACATCAGCAGATAATGAGAATTCCCAGAGATACTTGTAACCGAGTCTAAGCCGAGCAGTAGTAACATCTAGAAGTCTGCTGATTTTATTGGATGATCCATAGATGTGTGGCTCCTCTTGCATGATAGTATGGTGATAGATGTCCCGGGTGCCCTAGTACAATGATGAGTATGGGGTGCACAATAAACTACCGCTCACAGGGATGAGTATGGGGTGCACAATAAACTACCGCTCACAGGGGTGAGTATGGGGTGCACAATAAACTACCACTGACAGGGGGTGAGTATGGGGTGCACAACAAACTACCGCTCACAGGGGTGAGTATGGGGTGCACAATAAACTACCACTCACAGGATGAGTATGGGGTGCACAATAAACTACCGCTCACAGGATGAGTATGGGGTGCACAATAAACTACCACTCACAGGATGAGTATGGGGTGCACAATAAACTACCACTCACAGGGGTGAGTATGGGGTGCACAATAAACTACCACTCACAGGATGAGTATGGGGTGCACAATAAACTACCACTCACAGGGGTGAGTATGGGGTGCACAATAAACTATCACTCACAGGGGTGAGTATGGGGTGCACAATAAACTACCACTCACAGGATGAGTATGGGGTGCACAATAAACTACCACCCACAGGGGTGAGTATGGGGTGCACAATAAACTATCACTCACAGGGGTGAGTATGGGGTGCACAATAAACTACCACTCACAGGATGAGTATGGGGTGCACAATAAACTATCACTCACAGGGGTGAGTATGGGGTGCACAATAAACTACCGCTCACAGGGGTGAGTATGGGGTGCACAATAAACTACCACTCACAGGGGTGAGTATGGGGTGCACAATAAACTATCACTCACAGGGGTGAGTATGGGGTGCACAATAAACTACCACTCACAGGGGTGAGTATGGGGTGCACAATAAACTACCACTCACAGAGGTGAGTATGGGGTGCACAATAAACTACCACTCACAGGATGAGTATGGGGTGCACAATAAACTATCACTCACAGGGGTGAGTATGGGGTGCACAATAAACTACCGCTCACAGGGGTGAGTATGGGGTGCACAATAAACTACCACTCACAGGGGTGAGTATGGGGTGCACAATAAACTACCACTCACAGGGGTGAGTATGGGGTGCACAATAAACTACCACTCACAGGGGTGAGTATGGGGTGCACAATAAACTACCACTCACAGGGGTGAGTATGGGGTGCACAATAAACTATCACTCACAGGGGTGAGTATGGGGTGCACAATAAACTACCACTCACAGAGGTGAGTATGGGGTGCACAATAAACTACCACTCACAGGGGTGAGTATGGGGTGCACAATAAACTATCACTCACAGGGGTGAGTATGGGGTGCACAATAAACTACCACTCACAGAGGTGAGTATGGGGTGCACAATAAACTACCACTCACAGGATGAGTATGGGGTGCACAATAAACTATCACTCACAGGGGTGAGTATGGGGTGCACAATAAACTACCGCTCACAGGGGTGAGTATGGGGTGCACAAGACAATGGCCGCCACTGGTAGCTACAGTAACATCGTGTACTAGGTTTTATCTACAACTTTATCTCCATCCTCCACAACCAGGTTAAAAGGCTGGCATTTCCTGTTAATTGTAGGCTATGTAATATTTACTCTCTCCAGATATGATAACATTTAGTCCGGTTATTTGTACGTTTACCCATTTATTGCTAGGATATCGTATGCAAGCATGGAGCCCAAGCACCTTGCCTTACGTGGGAATTGAAACCTTAAGCAATCGGTAGAGTCGACTATGTTAACCTCAGATTAACTAAACTTCACCCCGTGACCTGAACTCTCCTTACAGCTGTCTTCCACTCCACCGGGTGGTGTCAACTCGTACGCCTGACAATTTAACAAAGCTTATATTCTCTTTGTTAAACGCGTCTATAGTGTCAGGTTAAGATGTACTGGCTTAGGTTAAGCTCTATAAGATTAAGTTAGTTTGGGTTGGGGTTGAAATCCATTGGCAAACCATCTTTTTGTGTGTATGATATGACTTTTATCAGATTCATCTGCCGTGAACGTGCCTGTAACTGACCTCGAGTTATCTTTTCAGCTGGTGATTTGGTGTTCAATAATCTTCTATGTGGCCGACCTGTGCCTGGACCTGTGGGTGTGTGCTGCACACTTCGAAGCCCTCCGTCCCCAGTCTGCCTGGTTCATCTTCTTCTGCATCCTCTTGCCTAACTTGTACGCCGGATACAAGTCCCTTCAATGGTGAGTCCTGGGTGTGAGGGACCCACACCTGTACACACCTGTACACTACAAGTCCCCCCAGTGGTGAGTCTTGGGTGTAAGGGGCCCACACCTGTACATAGCTGGACACACTACAAGTCCCAGCAGTGGTGAGTCCTGAGTGTAAGGGGCCCACACCTCTACACAGCTGGACACACTACAAGTCCCAGCAGTGGTGAGTCCTGAGTGTAAGGGGCCCACACCTGTACACAGCTGGACACACTATAAGTCCCAGCAGTGGTGAGTCCTGAGTGTAAGGGGCCCACACCTGTACACAGCTGGACACACTACAAGTCCCAGCAGTGGTGAGTCCTGAGTGTAAGGGGCCCACACCTCTACACAGCTGGACACACTACAAGTCCCAGCAGTGGTGAGTCCTGAGTGTAAGGGGCCCACACCTCTACACAGCTGGACACACTACAAGTCCCAGCAGTGGTGAGTCCTGAGTGTAAGGGGCCCACACCTGTACACACTACAACAAACAGTAACTGGGAGTAGAATTTACTAGTGTGTTTGTAAATGGGACAGTGTGTGAGCAAATCATGATGCAGGACGAAGACGAGGTGGTGTTGGAGGACGAGGTAGTGGTGGAGGATGAAGTAGTGGTGGAGGAGGACGAGGTGGTGGTGGAGGATAAGGGTTTGGTGGACGAGGTGGTGGTGGTGGAGGACGAGGAATTAGTGGAGGACAAGGAGCTGGAGGAGAATGAGGTGGTGGAACGACGAGTTGGTAGATGTCGAGGTTGTGGAAGAAGACAAGGTGGTAATGGAGGAGCAGGTTGTAGAGGACGAGGAAGAAGTGGACGAGATGGTGATGGAGCTGCAAGTGATGGAGATGGAGGAGAATGCAGTAGAAAAAATTAGCATGAGGAGAATTACAAGGGGGAGCATAGTGGGAGAGAAGGATTGGGGGGGGGGGTAATGAGAGTAAGGGATCGTAATAATGAGTGTTGGTGAGGCCATCTAGTGTCTCCTTTCCCAGGTACTTGCGGGCCCACGAGCTCTTCCCCATCAGGAGGCCATCGGTGTGGATTGTCCGCATCCTCTTCTTCCCCATCAGTCCCATCCTCAGGTAGGTTGTATCTCACTCCTTCCCCATCAGTCCCATCCTCAGGTAGGTTGTATCTCACTCCTTCCCCATCAGTCCATCCTCAGGTAGGTTGTATCTCACTCCTTCCCCATCAGTCCATCCTCAGGTAGGTTGTATCTCACTCCTTCCCCATCAGTCCCATCCTCAGGTAGGTTGTATCTCACTCCTTCCCCATCAGTCCCATCCTCAGGTAGGTTGTATCTCACTCCTTCCCCATCAGTCCCATCCTCTGGTAGGTTGTATCTCACTCCTTCCCCATCAGTCCCATCCTCAGGTAGGTTGTATCTTGCACCTTCCCCATTCCTATTGCATGTTATCTTAAACCTGATGTCCCTGTTCACCTAGCAGTATGGTACCTGGGAGTTAGACAACTGTTGTGGGTTGCATTCTGGGGAAGGTCAGTAGCTGACCTAGGGAGGAGTTCAATAAGCCTCAATTCAGGTTTCCTGTCCCTTAAAATGAGAATTAATTATAACGCATCAAGCAGTGTTGGATCCTTACTACAGAATCATATACACTGAAACACTTGATACAGATGGCTGTAATACCGTATTGAATCCTTCCTACAGAATCATATACACTGATACACTTGATACAGATGGCTGTAATACCGTATTGAATCCTTCCTACAGAATCATATACACTGATACACTTGATACAGATGGCTGTAATACCGTATTGAATCCTTCTCAACAGATATTTGGATGCATGGCGGTATGGTCGGCGTGCACGGCAGCACTGGCGTAACCACAACTTGCCACAGGAGCGTAAAAGCTTCGAGAAGTACCTGGTGGAGAATGCTGAAGTGGCCCTCCTGCGGCTAGTCATCATCTTCCTCGAAGATGCCCCCATAGTTGTCCTTAACTTGGCTCAGCTGCTGCAGACCCCTCCCGTCCAGTGGACCAAGATATCTGGTAGGCATTGGTTCACGGACATCGCATGGCATTGACCATTACAGACAGTACTAACAGACCACTGCACAGAAATGCTATAACACTAGAACCATTATCCATAAACACTACAACCACTATTCAGGAACCACTACACACGAACCATGACCTCAGTAAGACCAGAGATGGAATATGCAGTGATTGTTTGGTGCCCATATCTCAAGTGAAAAGATGTGCATCTAAATGGCCTTGGAACTGAAGAACGAAAGCTACAAGGAGTGGTTAGTGGCATTAAATACACCAAGGGGGTAGAACATAGAGGAAAAATAGGTGATGTGATCACTATGTCCAAAATAGTAACAGGAATCGACAAAACTGACAAAATAAGAATTTTTGAAAACTTCAAAGTTTTTTAAACAAAACTGCTGAAAAATATTAGAAAGTTTACTTTTGCAAAGAGAGTGGTAGACAGTTGGAACATGTTAAGTGAGGTGGTGGTGGCCAAAACCGTCAGTAACTTCATGGCTTCATATGACAGTACTGAGAAGAGAAGACACCACAAGTGCAGCATGTAACTACACTTGGGTAGTTATATTTTCGTAATTAGACACACACACACACACCACCCCCCTTTACCCCCCACATATACAACAGAGTAGTAGACAGTTGGAACAAGTGAGGTGGTGGTGGAGGCCAAAAACTGTCAGTACTGTAGTTTCAAAGTATACAACAGAGAGTACTGTACTGGGAAGATAAGACACCACAACCATAGCTCTCATCCTGCAACTACTTAGGAAACTACACTTAGGTAATTACATGAACTATTCAGGAACCTCTAATTTCTTAACAAAATTGTAAATGTAACAAAAAAATTGTAGATCACTGTAACATGATCAGTGTATATTTCTTTGGAATAAATCAAATGTTGAAAGTAATAAAATGTCCTTTTCTAGAGGGCAGCCAGTAGCTCCCTGAGCTTAATCTGGATCTGCCAATCTTCCAAGACTGGACCATATCATACCAGGAGCCAGAATCTGGCTCATTCTGCAAGGTGATCAAGGGAACAGGGAATCAGACATCAACCACAAAAACTAGAAACAAAATATCAGAAAGCATTGGTGTAACAAACAAGTGAATGTATGAAGAAATGAATGCATGAAGAAAATGAGGCACCCAAAGAAAGCAAACAATTGTTGTTGCAGGCTAACTTATCTTGAGGTTATCTTGAGATGATTTCGGGGCTTAGTATTTCCGTGGCCCGGTCCTCGACCAGTCCTCCTTTTTGTTACACACCCCCAGGAAGCAGCCCGTAGCAGCTGTCTAACTCCCAGGTACCTATTTACTGCTAGGTAACAGGGGCATCAAGGTGAGAGAAACTCTGCCCATTTGTTTCTGCCTCTACTGGTGATCGAACCTGGAACCTCAGGACTATGAATCCAAAACTCTGCCCACTCAGCTGTCATGGCCCCATAATGCTGTTGCACATAACTGCTACCAGATGGCAGCTGAGGTCACCAGATTCCAGTGTCAGCCCAACAGGGAAGACAATAATAGAGCAGGGACTGGGAGTTATAGTGGCTTCCCGAGCTTACTCACAATGATGCCTTGACAGAGAGGGCTAACTTTTCTGAAAAAGGAATAACAGATTAGTAAAGCACAAAAGACCCGGGGTGGTGCAGTGGTAACACTCGGTCCGTGCTTTGTGAGCGATTTGGTCTAAGTTTATATCCTGGTTGGGCAGGATTGGCTAGGCACCAATCCTTAACTGTATGCCTCTGTTCACCCAGCAGCAGTTAGGTACCTGGTTATTAAACAACTGGCAGGTCATATTCCAGGAAAAACTAGTGGGTAAAGCTTACCATGCACTAAGGGAAAAGAAAGCTTCAGCCTGCTAACAGTGAGTTAGCAGTCATCTGTTCTTGTATTCACCTGTGTGTAAAAAAAAAAAAGAAAAAAAAAAGAGCCTACTGGCCTAATATCTGGAATGGCCAGAAGGGGGTCAGGGAAAGAAATATGATAGTTGCACACCAAACGGTAGTCTCAATGACGCTGAAGGACATTTTACAAGTAACAAGTGGCCAACATCACGTTCAACTATCCGAAGTGCTGGGTTAGGATATTATCCATGGTAAATTGCAAAGAACACTGTCAAAGCAGAAAATTTCTACACATCATAAGTGACAATACACAGCCTGCTGGCTGAACATAACCACCTTGCAGATGACCTGGGAGAGGTAGGCATTAGAACAAGGAACTGTAGACACAGGGTTGATAAACAAGGCCTTCACCCCCAAGAGTGCGAGTAGTGCACAGATAACCACACCGCAGCCACAGGATAGTGTATGATGCAAACCCCAGCTAGATAGAATCCATCTAGAAGGCAGAAGTCTCATTCTAAGCGGATGGAAAAAAGAGAGACCTTGGAAATCATTTGACATGCCCTGATGACTAAATCTCAAGAAGCCAGAAGTGAGCTATCCTCAACCAAACCATCCCTGCTGAGGCATTGAACAACAAGGACACAATCCAAATGAAGATGATGAGCTTCATCTTGGCACCCCACAGGAAATATGGGTGCCAATGCGTCATCCAGGCTACCGCAGATTCACCCAGTGTAATGTGCATCTGCCACAGTACTGTGGTAACCATTGTATTTCGTCAGAAGTATACAATTATACACAATTTTACCAGGCAAAACCACACATGCAAATGTTTTATTATAAACCAAAATACTGTATTGTTTTAAGTTCTATATACAGTATCAGGATTTCATTTACAATAGTAACAATTTGTAATATTAAATGTTTCATGCTTAAATCAAGATTAGTGTTAAATACATAACACATTCTTAAATACACATTGGGTACATTATTAAAAATTCTTTACCAAGTTCATTAAAGTAACAAAAGAAAGTGTTAAAACATGTACATAACACATCACCACACACAAACACTGTCAGAGCAATGTACATACCAGTACTGTAATCAATAGCATAGTTCACATCCTGAAGAGATTTATTTTTTATAAACCATGTAATGTTTATTTCCTACAGAGGGCAAGGCAGACCCAGAGATTGTACGTCTAGGGTCGGTGCTAGCCAAGCTGTTGTGTACCATGACACTGGGGGTTGTGCATTACATGTCGTGCAACAAGTTAGCGTGGCATCTAGCCAACACTCACAACAAGAAGTCTCAGGACTCGGATGTTCACTCGACCAAGGATGAATGGGAGAGCAAGGGCAGGCTGTCTTGGGCTGCTGAGTTGGCCATATATTGCTGGCAACTGCTAGCTATCAGTAAGTGTAGTACACCTAGTTTACCTTAAGTAGGTTTCAAAAGTTCTTCTACTCCCTAAGCCCTGCCTGGGGCTAAGCTTGTTTAGTGGTAACTTGGTACATCAGGCTTTTACTGGCAGCTGCCTACAGACCACCACATCCACTACAACCCAGTTAAACATGCTGGCTGCTCCTACACCCTCACTGACCTTTCTTGTTACTTCACTTCACACCAACAGCTATGTGCTCACTTCTTAAAACTGATAGTGGATCAGTTATTGTATTTATTCTAACTAAATTTACAGCTGTATCTCAGATAAGAATAATGGAACTACAGAATATTGGTCTTCTTTATGTGCAACCAAACTCATTCACACATACAGTATGTCCAAATTATGCTTCAAAGAATCCAGCAATTCCACATCTATTATGTTACCAGGTTTTCTGCTACATAAATCAGCATTCCTTTCCCAAACCGATATTTACCTAGGTTATTTCTGAATCTTATAAACTGTTGCAATTCATATCCATTGTTTTCATGTGCTATTTTGTGTTGATGTACATTATTTAACATTATCAAAATCCTCTCTTTTATATCCTGTCATCCACTTGTACATTATCATGCCTTATCGCAATTTTCCAGTTATAAGCAAAATAATAACACACACACACACACGATAATAAATTGGTGTAATTTATATGGGTTTTATGTCATTTGTTTTTATTATATACATACAATGGAATTCTTTTCCGGGGCTTTTTGCCAAATACATATTTCCTAGCATTATTTTTGCCTGAATTTACTGGAGGGCCCCCAGTTCTAGTGACATCAATGGGGGCAGGAAGCTAGCAACTCCTGGAGGTCCCCCTTCCCACACCCCACTATTTCAGAGGATTTTCTCCAGATTTTACAAATTAAAAAAAAAAAAACTGTACTTATTAACAGCATCCCGAGTGGTGGCATACGCTCTCTTCTGGGTGGTGCACTTCAGCTTACTCTGGGTACCAATTCTAATTCGCTGGACAATTCACACACTCTGGATCTACTTTGATGTTGCCGAGATGTCACTTATCAACTCCGTTGCCTTCGGGGGAGTCTACCTCTTCTCCTTCGTTACAACTTCGCCTGGACGTCAGGTAACCATGGCTCTATTTGAATACAGTACCTTGGTATTTCCATGATGTTTTATCTCTGGTCCATATTGTTAAGTAGAGAAACAAGTAATATTTGACAAGCTTCAATGACAAGATGAGTGGTAACTCAAAATAAATTACAATATTGTAGTAGTGTTAAAAGCCCCTCCACAGCAAGATTTTCTAATTTTGAATAAGGATAAAAAGATGATAATGATTATTGATGATAAAATTTCTGATAGCAGCATTATAGTGATAATAAATTATTTTTAAATTGAGCTGTATAAATATTAATTCCTTAATTAGTAAAACATTACTAGTAAGGATGCCTTTTTCCTGCTGATATCCAGGATCAAGTCTGAAGTACAGTAACTCCTTTTTAATGAACTCAGAATTATAATACCGTACTGTAAATTCATGTAGTCTCTCGGAAACCTCCACTCTCTTATTTCTCCCCAAATAAGTGTTGTAATAACTTTTCCAATTAAAAATATTTATCGAGACGCAACAGACTCGGATTGAATTAGCTCCCATTTCGGTGACGTCCAATACTGAACAGCAATAGGATGTAGCAATATTATATTACAGTACCATACTCTACATACAAGAATTAAGCAAAGAATGTAATAAAATGCTCTTTCTTGAGGGCCTACAGTAGCTTCCCAGACATTATGTTGGGAAGCACTAAATGCATGCTGACCTTATGGCAATCACAACCGGAATCTGGCTTTCTCTACCAGGCAAAGGAAGCTTAAGGATCAGAAATCAACCCAAAACCAAGAAGAACCCACCATTAAGATTAGGTAAAACAAAAGCAACTGCTTCAACAAAGAAATAATATCTGAAGCAAACAGTAACTGTCTCCAATTTTTAAAACTCCAACAACCCCACAAGAGAAAAAGGATTAGTGAGGAAACGGTGAGCTATCGAGAGCCCACCAGAAAATGGTGTCTTGTTACATTCAATAGCAGATTTCTGGGAGGCCCTGCAATAAATCCCCAATGGCAAATTTGCCTTGTTTACTTCAGATTTTATTAATTTCACTTTCTTCAAGAAATAGCTTATATTATTATGCCTAAGCTTTCTGAAGATTTTTTTTTTGGTTTTGAGTTGAACTCTGGTTCTCATGTTCTCATTGCCTTGTAGTGTGTGTCAGATTCTAGTCCTGGCTCCCAGTAGGTCAAGCATGGGGTCTCAAGAGGCCTGGTGCCCTTATTATGGATTTCCTACATCAGCACATAAGCTCCTGGGAGCTACTGATTGGGCCTCCCAGAAATAACCACTTTAGTAAAATTGTCTATTTTTCCACCACAGATCTTGCGTATCACGCTCTACTATGTGATAACTTTTGGGGAGCATATAATCATTGCTATTTTCTGGCACTACGGCGCTCCCGATAATTACTTCCACAACTACGGCATTGGTGTGATGTTTGGGGGAACTGCGGGAGGTGTGTTGTTCTTGACGTTGTATTACAGCTGTTGTCACCCTGACCAGGACAGCATCTGGGCACGGCAGAAGTGGGCAGAAGCACAGAAACGCTTAAGAGAATTCACAGAAAGAAGAGAACAAAGGTCACCCAACCAAACTGAAACACCATAACTAAACGTAACGATAAATAATTATGAAGTATGTGGGAATATGTGCAATAATTACTGTAAAAACTCTTCCCTTATCTGAAATATATAGGGGTAAGCCCAGTCCAAACATTGATTGTTTTTCCTGTAAATAAGACAAATGATTGGACTGGACTGTATTACTCCTTCAAATAAACTGTTACATTAGCATCACTTTATTTGAAGGAGACAACGTGTTCGTGAAGTACTCAATGCCCCCTTACTCTCTCGTTCACAATAATTACTTAATATCTCGTGTCTTTTACAGTACTGTACTATCACTTTAACATTCATATTTTATCAAACTACTATATACTGAATAGAATATATATATTATTTAAATATTTACAGAAATGCAGAACAAATTAACAAAATTTTGGATGAGAGTTCTAGATACACAGTCCAGGTACGAGAAACAACAAACAGGGCGGAATTTACTGTATAGAGAAACAAGATGCCCTAATTCTGGTCATATTTTAGCTATTTTATTAGTTTCTTTATATTATATAATTATAGGTAACTATATGTATTTGTCAAATTATTTAAGATCCTGCCTGCTTAACCTTTACACCACTACCCCAGTCGCTTGTGAGCGATTGACCCATATGCTTCAATGGCCTGGAGATGATTTAAGGTGGTCCCATTTTATTCAAAAGCCCCACCTATTCTAGGGGAATGTCATTTGATACTAAAGACCTCTGTCGATTGTTTGCCATATTAGTCCCATAGTTTCCTTCCAGTACCCTAGTCAAATGATGTGGGCCATGTCTGGAGCATCACCCTCCAGTGACCGCATGCACAGGCCAGCCATGCTAACCACTGAACTTTTACCAAGAGCAAATATGTGTGTAATTTTATACACACATCTGTGTACATATGTATATATTTCCAAAATGATTGAATATGAATACAACTACCGACACATCAGTACAACATAAAAGCGAGAAACGATGAAAATAAATGAACCATGTTAATCTCGTGAGCACCTCACCTCAATCCATATATCTCCACACCACTACAGCTAAACCACAACAGGCAGATACTTTTTAGATGGATTTTCATTTTTCCTGGACGCTAATTAAAGTGCCAAACGAAACATTTATTAGATTATTTTTTGCAAGACAGATAAGGCATCAAAATAGCCTAAGTAGTTAGGGAGTTAAAGACATACTGCATTTATTTGGAAGTGTTGCTGGCTGTTAAAAATAATTATAATTGGCAGAAATCTTCATCAATGAAGAATTCTTATTTTTTTCAGATGAACAATATTATATGAGGTTGTATGAATACTGTATAGCTGTTGTTTCAGTAATTATTATGTTTCTAAGGACTACACATACTTCCCAGGATTATATTCCCTGGAACTACATGCTCTTCCTGGATTATTCTCCTTCGGACTACTGTATATGCACGTCCAGGGATTATACAACTCGGAACTATACACTCATCCAAGGATTTTATTCCTTGAGACTACATGCAATTTTTTATTACAAATACAAATGGTCTCACCAGATGATAAATATACCAGAAATATCTTTTGCCTAGCATTTTGAAGGATTATTGCCAGTCAGTAAATATGTAATAAAGGAGAAAATGGAGAAATCTTCTTATGCTTTTTATGCCTAAAATATATAAATAAAGCCTAGTCAAATGCCTTAAGTAAAAAGTTATGTGTTTATTTAGCATTTATAAGTGCCTTGTCCCCTTTATGACTTGTGGCTCTACTGTTTATATACTGTGTTTCCTTTTTACCGCTACTGTGCTCTTTTTTTTTAATACTTATAGGTATGCTCACTATATCATATTCATAAATAGTATATTTATAGGTATGCTCACTATATCATATTCATAAATAGTGTACCAATAGTCACACAAGATTAGGTATACAGTAAGGATGATAATGTACATTATCTTTCACAGTATTATTTACAACTTTGATGTGTAGGATGTATGCCAGTCAAGTTACGTTTTAACACTGCAACACAAAATGCAATATTTTGAGGAATATTTTAAAGCTCAACCTCAGGAATACAGTGGCTGTGCTATTTATACCAGTACTAAATTTTTTTTTACAAAGACAACTTGGTGAACATTAACACTGACGACTTATGGTGAACCCCATTAGCGTCTCATTCTCATTATCTATATCTATCACTCTCTCTCTCTCTCTCTCTCTCTTGAGAGAGAGAGAGAGATATAGAGTGATAGATAATCTAATAATCTCGGTAGAGAACTAAAAATTGGTGTCATGAACAATATGCCACAATGGAAATACAGTAGCTAATTATTATGTACTTTTGTTTTCATGTGAACATAATAAATTTCTGTAATGAGTTTTGGTAAAGCATTCAAAGATTGGAAAAAAGGCTACATATAAAAATCACATTATTATTATTATTATTCAGTAAATAAACCTCCTTTGCCATTTAAAATGTTATTAAATTAAAGGTCTGTAATAAATACATTTCAGGAAAGCATAATATAAATATTTAGTTAAGTTCAATTTTATGAAATTGGTACTAGAATTAATTTCGATAAATGTGATAAACAACGACTTTATGAAACACGCACATGAAGAACAATCACAATACTGTACCATACAAGATCTAGACGATTTGGGATCGGCCATGAATGTTTGCGATAGATAGATTTATTTTATACAAAAGTTTTATACAAAGTTGTATTGTGTTCTTTCTTATTTAACCACATGAAAATATGCTTTTTTTTTTTTTAGGTTCTTGAAATTTTCAGGATGTTATTTTGATGACCCAAGCTTTCAAAATGTATTGCGGGTGCCTTAAACTTTCAATAAGTATTCAATAAGTATTCTTCAAACTTTGAAGTATTCAAAATGCATCTTGAAACTTTCCTGATGTATTTTCCAAATAGTTTTTCCATAATCAGACACACTGCATAAATTCTCATTCTTTTTCTTTAAGTTTACCCTTGAATTGTTACTCGAATATTTATATTGAATGTTCCTGTATAAAAACACAGCATTGCTTTCAGTGTTTACTGAATAAGATAAACAAATTTGTATACAATAAAGATTTTATACAAAATCTAAAGTTTGTCAATGATGTCCCTAAAGAAAACAGAGGAAAAAGGAGGATTAGCAAACATAAATGTCTCTGCAAGTGTTCCTTCTAACACTTATTGTGCGAGCATAATGTCTGGGTGTGATTGCAAGAGGCTGACCGTCTCCAGTGACCGGCACTCCCAGAAGGATCCGGGTGTCAAGGAATAGGGATGACGATGGTTTTAAGCCAAAGGAAGAAATTATGAGGAGAAATCATTGAGTCAGTATGAATTTATATAGCACATGGAAGGGATATGAGGACAAGGAGCTGGGATAGGAGCATAGTGAAAAAATGGTGCCCAATTACTTGGACCGCCGAGAGTTGAATGCTGACCTGCAAAAAGCAAGGGCATCACTGTACTAACCAGTCCAATTGGTTGGACCATGGCATATAAAGGGTATTTTTAAGCCAAAGGTAAGAGGTATTGAGGCAAGGAGCCATTTAGCACTCATGAGACATTGATATATAAAATATTTATACAACAGTATCACTTCTGGGGAGGTGCAGCTAGCCGTCATGTGTAAAATCTGTGTAAATGTAGGACAAATAAAATAAACAATAAAAAGAAAGTTCCACTGTACTGATATTGCATAATGGAGGAATCATAGCCAACCAATCTCTCCTTGGGGGTCCAGTACAGTACTGTATTTCATTAGTGCCAAGAGTCAATATCAGTTGTGCAAATTTTTGTATTAAAATATGCAGAGAATAAGTCACAATAATGTAGGTGAGATAAATAGCCCAACCCACACCTGACCTTGACACACAGTCCCACTTTTGCTACGTTACAACTTGATGAAGGTCCAGGACGGACCGAAATTTCATCACTTTCATTTCTTGTCATTTACGTGGGTTAGGTTATATTTATTCAAATATATAACTATTCCTGTTAAAATAAGGACACTTATAACTGTACTAAATTTATCATAGACATGACTATATATCAGTATCAAGTGTCAATAAGAGTAATAATGAAGCAACCTACACAAGTGTGACATCTCTGTGACTATGCATAAATAACTACTAAATTATACAATATTTAAGATCTTGCTATTAATTTTAATATAAACAGAACCTTGCCAGTCAGGTTAACCCATTAATACAGAGGCACATGTATGAGCACACGCCCAACATGGCAGGTGCGGACACAACGGCGTTGCTTCCACAAGACATGGAACAAAGTAGAGAAGATTCTTGTGACTTTTTAGACAAGGTAAGCCTGGAATATATTATAAATATGGTGAGAAAACTTGAGGTGAAAAACAGGAGCCATTAAAGAAAAACATTTGACCTAATGGATGTAAACAATCACCTTGAAAATAAAAAAGTTAATCTTACAGCTGAAAATCAAGACTGTAGATGGAATTCAAATGTTAAATGAATTAGTGAAAGATCATTCCAGTGAAGTTAAGCTACCAAATACATGGGAAACCAGTAAAATAAATGACATAAATAAACATCAGGTATACAAAGGAAGGAAACAAAATTTACTACAAACAAAGGATATGATTTAGGAGAAATTAGAATTTGTAAATGCCAGTGTACAGGAAAGCAAGGTAGAATTTTATAGAACATTTGCTCATTTATTAGTTAAGAAAGTTAACCTTTGAGAGGTGATACAAGAGGCTAAACTCTCCTTATAGAGGTTATGCAAGAGGCCAAACTGAACTTGAAGAGATGATACATGAAAATGGATCTGAGGATAAAGAAATATGAACTACAGCACGAAGAAAGACTAAAGACGTTGGAAGGAATGAACAGCAAGATATATGATGATAATGTAGAAGGTAATAAATGGCACATAGGAAGATTTGGTTCAACCATCACTTCAGTCCAAAATTAAGTTGCATTTTCAAATTGCTTAAAAGACTGTATAGAAATGACAAGAAAGAAGTCCTTCATAAACTAAGTAACAGATGGTTAGACCAGCTCCAATAGCAGATGGTTGGACTTGGACCAAAAGCAGATAGTTGGAACAGTAGTGAGGACAAATGAGTGCAGTGGTTCCAAGACCAGATTGTTAGAACAGTTCCAAAAGTAGATGACTGGAGCAGCACAGAGTAGATGGGTTGGAGTGGGTCTGAAACAAGACAGTTGGAGTCGCTCCAAGAGTCAGCATGTGTGAAGGCCACTAGAAACTTTACAAATACTTTAGTATTTATGTTTAATTAAATAGAGAAGAAGAACCGCAATGAGCACAGCTCTACTCCTGTACTTGCACATACTTGCATATCAGTCTATTTCCCTTGGAAACAACCAACAACATTTATCACATGGTGGACGGAGCTTTGACTTAATGTCTTGAACAATAGAGAAATGAAGGTGCATCTCTGCCTCAAGCATTGTAAATATCAGAGGCGCACGGCTATATGATCTCCTCCCAACAAATGTAAGAAATGTCGCAGGAACAACAGTGAGAGCTTTCGAGAGAGAGCTTGACAAGTTCCTGCTGGAGTTACTGGATCAGCCTGGCTGTGTTGGTTACATCGGCTTTCGAGCAACGAAGACTAGAAATTCACCAGGAAAGGCTGTGGGAGTAGAACTCTCAAAATTGTCAACAAATGAACAGGTAAATTACTGTTTCTAATTAAAATTAAATTATACCCCACAAAAATTTGATTTGTAAATTGATTACTCTGCATCATTTGAATGTTATTTATAAAAACTGAGATACATTTTACTTTTTCATATGTAATTCATAAAGATTTTATAGCATTCAGAAAGCAATCGTACTCAATGACTAGTAGTGATATAGCAGCCACATCAACTCACACGGCTGTGTTCACATCAACTCACACGGCTGTGTTCACATCAACTGAATATGCCCTTAACATATGTCCTTTCAATACATAACATACTTTCATACACTTCCTCAACTTCTGGTTTCCCTAAAATTCACAACAAAGTGAATAAGGACGCAGTGAGATGAAAGGGTAACTTATCTGACCTCAGGTCTCCCACCTACATTACTAAGATGTTTCACGCTCACTGGATTCGTCACTTGGTTCCCACTCAGTGCGTAGGTCTGATGACACCTCGGTGAAGATTGTATCCCACTTCCATTCAATGTCCGGCTGGGAAGTAGTGATATTAGAGCACTGTGTATGTAAGTCTGTGATGTGAATACATGCACATGTGAATATATGTATATGTGTGTAATTATGTAGTTACAGGATGAGTGCTACTCTCGTGGCGTCTCCCGTCATCCCAGTACTCTTTGTCATATGATGCTCTGAAATAAACACTCCATTCACCTAGGATACATGGGTCTCAAACTGTGGACCCCACGCATGTGAGGCTGTTGCTCACATGCATGGGGGTCCTCGGTGGATTATTTATTTAGGTTATTTATCATAGAACCCATACAGCCCAGGTGAATGGAATGTTTATTTCCATGGAAGTGTGCATGACAATTTATATGTTCTGAAACTGTTGATGGTTTAGGCCACCACCACCTACTTAACTTGTTCCAACCGTCTACCACTGTTTGCAAAAAGAGTTATTTCTCCTTCTAGTTATTAGTTATTTCTAGTTATTTCCAGCAACTTTGTTTCCTTAGCTTAAATCTATGAACTCTTGTCCTTGAAGTTGCAGGTTTCAAGAATTCCTTTTTTTGTCAATTTTGTCGATTCCTGTTACATTTTTGTATGTAATGATTATATCACCTTTTTTTCTTCTATCTTTGTTGGCATATTTGACACCTCTAGCCTCTCGTATTAGATCTTGTTTTTCCAGTTCCAGAAGCCACTTTGTAACATGTCTTTGCACCTTTTCCACTTTATTGATGTACTTCTTGAGATATGGGAACTATAGAACTGCTCCTCATTTCTATTTTGGTCTCAAGTCATGAACAATTCCTATAATATTTTACCATTCAAATATTTAAAAGTGATTCTGAAATTGGAAAGCATAGAATATGCTCCTTGCACAATGTCCTTTATGTAGTCACCAGGTGACAATCTACTAATATTTTTCTTTGTCAGAGTTCCTTTGCATCTTTCCACATAATTAGTAGATTGCAAGTGGCTTATCTTCTCCTATTCCACATTTCATGAGGTGGTGTTTATTCATATTGAATTCCATTTCTAAAGTGTTGCTCCATACATTTATTCTGTTCAGGTCATCTTGAAGGGCATAACAATCATCAAGGTCTCTTAGCTTCCCAGGAAGCTTAGCATCAACAGCAAACATGTTCATATAGAACTGTATTCCTACTGGGAAATTCTTTATATAGACGACAAACATTACTGGTGCCAGCACTGAACCCTGTGGTACTCCACTAGTTACACTCCTACAGTCCGATATGATCAGTCAGTTAGATAATTTTTCATCCATGTCAAAAGTCTGTATCACCCCTCCAGCATGTTCCAGTTTCCAGAACATCCTCTTGTGTGAGGGGGATTCTGTTAAAGTCTTTTTTTTTTACTTGACTTTCAGGTGATAAACAAGTACAATAAAGGTAAAGACAAGGGGGATACATAGGGGATAAATGGGGGATGAAGCACATACAAAGATTAATCTTATTGCCTATTACACCTGATTAATCTTTGTATGTGCTTTATCCCCCATTTATCCCCCTGTCTTTACGTTTATTGTACTTGTTTATCACCTGACCCTGTACTGGTATAAATAAATGAGTTTTGTAATTTCTTTTCACTTGAGAATGAACCATGGAGGTTTAAACATTGTACAAATTGTATAAATAAGTGTAATATGTTCTATAGTAATTCACTTTTTTCTTCACCCTGAAATAACAAAAATGAGTTATGGAGAACTCCTCTTTCAGCTAAGCCCTGATGCTAGAAAAATAGTTAGAGGGATAGAAGCCCTAAATCAGAAGATAGTAAATACAGAATATGCGGTTGAATATAAACTCTTCAGCCACATTAATGTGGTTCACCAAACAGGCTTCTGACGAGCACTGGTGTGAGACATAAAACTCACCTCTCGTATATCAGCCTCGTTTGCCAGGCCGTTGGCGAGGATTCGCAGGTCTATATCATCCAAGGTTGAAAATGCAGCATGACGCAGCAAGTCTGAGTCCAGCTCCTTATATGTGGCAACAAGGTTGATGGCAACACTGCAACAAAAATATGGCCAGTGCTGAAGTTCTAGATGATAATACAATTTCTGAGACAATTTGAGCAGTGTAGTCCAATATGACAATACAATACCTTGCAGCAAACATAATTACAATATTTCAGACCAAGAAAGTTGAAGATACAGTACAATACAGACATTGCATCAAAAACAGAAATATGTAAATTTATAAACAAAACATTTTCTTAACCCCTTAAACTGCTCCTGTTGCCCTCAAGTGATAGACTGATAATCCTTCTGCTGCTTGTGGATGGTTTAATGTGCCTCTTAACATTCAAGGTTCCTAAATATTCTATATGGACATCTTTCAACACTAAAGACCTCTGGCAATTGTTTGCCACGTTAGGGAAAAATCCTGAAAGCCTTCGTTACCTTCCTGGGCATTACTAAAAAACCAGTGTTGAATATAATGATATGCCATTTTCTGGGTGAGCCCCCGGAGGCTCCCCGGAGCTATCGGGCTAATATGCGAATCATTAGACTGGGCATTAGTCTATGGAGTTCAACCTACCAGGAACCACAAGAGCCCCCTCAGACAGGTACAGGGAGCAATGGCCCTAGAAACCCCCCCCCCTGGGGTTGGAGGTTTTCCTTACCTGCCATTGACCGGGGTTAGGTACCCAGAAAGGTAGGAATAACAAAACAGACCCCACATGGTAAGTAAATTGCAACCGAAAACCGAACAGAGAGGTAGAACCTCCTCCAATCCCAAGCAAACGTCATGCTCCATCACCACGTCGCATGTCCCCCCCCCCGGGAGGACAAGAGGGGAGACCTGGACCCCCTGGGAGAAAAAGAGGGGGAGCCCTGGACACCCTGCACCGGCGACCCAGCCACTCCAGTTTGAAGGCCAAGTATCAACCACGCGAATACCGCCAATCGGAGGAAGGGAGGGTTGCCAGGGAGCCTCCGAAGCTCACCCAGAAAATGGCGATTCATTACATTCAATGCTGGTTTTCTGTGGAGAGCCCCTTCAGTTTCCTGGAGCTACATAACCAAAGATAAGGAAAAAGAGACTTACCCGGGAGGCTGCTGTGGTTGATTCACTCAGTTCATACAGCAGTATGTAGCAGGCGGCGCATGAGCAGGCCGGAGGTGAAACAAAGCATGAGAAAGCTTATGGAACAGGGCAGAAGTAACATCCACCCTGAACGCAAGCTCTGCCAATGCCACATGACACGAGGCGACAGTATTAGACATCAAATGATGGTCCTGAAAAAGCCAAGACAGAAAGGACAAGACAACCCGATCAGAAATAGAAGACAACCTACGAAGATAGAGAAAATGGTGGAAAGAACGCCAGGAAACGTCATATCATCGCTGAAACGAAGCTCTCAGGTAGGACACCATCAATAAAGCCACCTGATCACCATACAATTGGCAATATTATAGGTCAGGACCTCGACCAGTCCTGCCAAAAGTTGTCCACCGCGAAAGCCTCGCAGTCGGGGAAGGGTGCCACACATATCGGCAAATGCCAAGACCACGCTGACGCAAAGAGGTCTACTTCCTGGAGTCCGTACACCCGGCAGAGCCAATTGAAGGAGTCGGTGTCGACTGTCCATTCCATGGACAGGGGAATGAACCGAGACAGGCTGTCCGCTAGGACACTGGACACAACCCGGATATGAACCTCGTGGAGAGCCAAACCCTGAGAAGCCAGCAGACGAGCCACTCAAAGCGATCAGCCCCAAAGAGACAAGGACCGAAGAGAACCGCCACAGTTCAGGCAATGAACCACCGGAGAACAGTCCGAATGGAGCTGGATGGTTGAACCCCCGAGAGACCCGAATCTTCCGAAGTGACAGCCAAACTGCCGTAAACTCCCGCACCATGCTGTGAGCCCGACAGAAGGATGGACCCCACTGCCCCTGGCCAGCCTGGTGAGCAATGGTCACAAAGCCCCAACCATGAGATGATGCATCCATGAGCACATCGAGCAAAGGCTCGGGTAGGCGCTAAGACACTGAACCCTGAAAACCCCGAAGAGGAAGTCAGCGACGCAGCAACCGACGCAAGGTCCCCGGAGGACGAACCCAACGATCGTGAGAGAGGCAGAAGGGGCATCTCTGAAGGAACCAAAACAGACGCCGAAGCCAAACCAGATCCAGTGGATTGACCAGCACGGCGAAGTTCGGACTCACGAGCAGCCACCAAGTGACCCGGGACCTCCCAGAAACAGCTGAAGGTGGGACCACAGCAACGCCTCTGGAGGGAGAGGCATATAAGTGGTCCGAGAGTCCCAAACAAGACTCAGCCAGGTCTGAACCTGGGATGGAACCAGATGGGACTTCCACTAGTTCCCCAAGAACCCGAACCTGGCAAGCTGGGAAAGATCCACACCCCTGACGAGCAGACAAGCAGACTGGCTGGGAGCCCACACCAGCCAGTCAAGGTAGGCCAGAACCCGAACCCCTAGCAGATGCAAACGAGTCACTACGACCTGGGGAAGATGCGTGCCAAATTCAAGCCAAAAGGAAGGCAACATAAGCAGTAAGCAAGACACCCCACCATGAAACCTAACCAATCCCTGAACCCCGGATGAATAGGAACATGCCAATACATGTCCTCGAGGTCCAGGGATACCACCCAGGCATCCGGCTCCAAAAGAAGCCAAACCTGAGAGTGCTCATTTGAAAGGAGGGGCAAGGAATCCACTGGTTCAGACGGGACAAGTCCAGAATGAACCTCAGATCCGCACAATCCTGTTTCGGCACTGGAAACAGGCGGAAAACCCACCGGAGGGATGGGATCATTTCAACCACGTCCAAGCGCAACCATTCCAACACGACTTGAAGCACAGGGGAAGAAACCTGCTCCGCCAGCCCCGAACCTCCCGAGGGAGGATAAGCCGCTGAACGCCACTAGAAGTCAGATGACATGACCCAAAATGCCCACGAATCACGAGACCAGGCGTGAACAAACAGAGCGAGCCTCCCCCACTTTCCCCTCCAGGCAAGGTTGGGGGGGGGGGGGGGGTTGTGCAGGGGAGTGTTTGAGGCCTCAGTCTCTTTTGAATCCAGCAGTAGTTTCTTTTCATTTGCCAACTTTCTGGTTGCCTTCCTCCAGTGAGGTAGCAAAAATATATATCAACTCCCTGCACCTCTGTGAGGGGGACCAGGTTTTGGCTCTTGTCCCCAATAGGCCTAAAGAACACCACAGCTAATGCAACCTAGTAGATGGCACCATCTCAGTGTATAGTAGTGTCAGGGAGCCACAAAGGTCTGCCCCACAACAGAAAATCACATTTTGGTGACCCAAGCACAGGAGGTATTCATAGACAGCAACTGGAACCATGTAAGGGTTAATAAAAAAAGGCGTATTTTGCATTTCATGCCACTGGTCATTACCCGATGCAGCAACAGAGTAAACATCATGTGCAGGGACGTCCACTGTGCACTTACCTTGGGGCGTTAGCAATCTGTTGAGTAAAATCCTCTTCCACCACATCATCAAGGTCTGGTATTACAGGCATGTCTGAAAACATTGTAAGATTACTTAAATGCACTTTCTTTATCAACAGAATCAATATATCTTGAATGTTTGTTTTTCAAGCAATATAGAATTGTTTAATGTATTCATGATATTTTATAATGTAGAACACACTGAAAACAGACATTTATTGTTAAATTCATCCAGCATTATACACAGTACTTGTACGTATGATATACTATACTGTTTTAACAATGCCAGGGATATGATGCCGGTTAGGTTTACCGAGGTTACCAGAACCGAGGGGCAAGACTGTGTGGTCACCCATCCAGTTATTAGTCAGACCAAACAGTTTTTAACCTTTCTATTCAAATGAATTGTTGGAGTCATTATATTGTATGGTGCCCATTCATGGTCAATGTTTCAAACCAATATTGGAAGTGGCAATACTGTACAGTAATAAAGGAACAACATATTATAATCCAAAAGGACTGAGTAAGTCTTTGCAAAACAAGGAAACTGTCTAGGGTTATTTACTAATGTTCCGGGATGTGTTGCTGTGAAAGGCAAGGTAATTATGAAGAGAAGCTGCAAAGTCAGTATGCCCAAGTGGCACTTGGAAGTGATACGAAGGTTGAGTATAGGAACAGTACCCAACCACTTGGATCATTGGAGATCAAATGCTGACCCCACAAAGTTGTCACTCTACTGACCAATCCAAGTGGATGAATATTTTAAATACAATAATCTGGAACCAACCAACATAACTAATATAACACTAGTTGAGTGATCTTTTTCATCATTTCCTTACATAGCCAGACTCACGTAACTCACCTTGATCAGAGTCCGAGTTACGCCGAAACCTTCTATCTTCCAGTGGTGGTCCAAAACCCCTAAATAAAGAGGAGTAGAAGAAAATAGAATAAGCAAATACTGTACAGTGCAGCAAAGAATGCAAATCCAAATTATAGGCTCAGCAATACTGCAACAATATCAGCACAGTATCTGTTCAGTTGACTTGTAACATTAAACACTTTTTTACAAAAACCCAGCATTGAATGTAATGAAACCCCATTTTCTGGGTGAGCCCCGGAGGCTCCATGGAGCTATCGGACTGATATACTGTATGCTATATTAGTCTGGGGCTTCAGTCAATAGAGTTCTGCTTACTGGGGACCACTAGCCAGAGCATGGCCTCCTCAAAAATGTGTAGGGAGCAATGGCCTAAGGAAACCCCCATGTATTTGGGGGTATTCCATGTCTCCCTCAAAAGAAAACAAGGAAACAAACAAACGTCATCCATTGCTGCCGTGCAACCTCCCCCCCCACGCAGGGGGGTGAGGGGAAAAGCCCTGCACCGGCTGTGCAAACCTCAGTTCGGGGGCCGAGCATAAAAACAAAACCGCTGGCCATAGGGAGGGAGGGAGGTGTGCCAGGGAGTCTCCGGGGTTCACCTAGAAAATGGCATTTCATTACATTCAACGCTGGTTTTCTGTGGGGAGCCCCTTTGGCTCCTTGGAGCTACATAACCAAAGATCAAGTAAAAGAAGGACTTCCCTTAAAGGCAGCCACATTACGTGCATCAACTTGAAGACGAGACAACTGGCTGCAACCTGGGACCCAAAGCCAAATGACGACTTTGAATGACTGGGACCAGGACCATTCACCAAATACCGGGCGGCCAGGACCATTCACCAAATACTGGGCGGCCAGGACCCAGTTCAACCACCAAAACCCCCATGCTCAAATGTCAGCCCAAGCCATGTTCCCAAACATGGCAACCAAAGCAGTATACAGTATTTACGAACATTATGGCCACGAGGGTAGACCACAGGCTGGTTAGACTTAATAACCCTGCGGACGACCTGAGAGATCCGAGCCCTGGAACAGGGAACGAGGGAAATCAGATCAAAAGCTGAGGCATGCAGGTAACTGTGCAGAGCCGCAAGGGGATACAACACATAATGCACCGCTGGCCTGATCAACCAAGCATCAATAACCCAAGGGCCCTTCCGGAAGCCCATCATATTGTTTTTTTGCCAGAAAAGGAGACATCTCAACTGAACAAAACGTCCACCAGGACCAAAAGAGCAGAAACCTCTGTGCCGGAGGAGAGTATGAAGCTCACCAACCCGGCTCCCAGAGCTCATTGCCAACAGAAACAGAGCCTTGTGGGAAGCAATCTTGAACCAAAGAGGCCACCACAAACCGTGGAGAAGAGAGAAGAGAGAGAGCACCCGATCCAAGAACCAGGGCGGCTCAAGTGGCGCAAGAGCAGGTCAGAGGTGAAATAAATCACGAGAAAGTTTACAGAATGGAAGAAACATCCACCCCGAACGCCAGCTGGAGCGGCTCCACCAGTGCCGCACGATAAGAGGCGTCAGTATTGGACACAAGATGACGGACATGAAAGAGCCAAGAAAGAAATGACAAGACAACTTACAAAGAGAGGGGAAATAACGAAAAGAATGCCAAGAGACTTCCTACTGTCGCCGAGATGAAAATCGAGGAAGCACAGGGGTAAAAAGGCATACAGCATTGAGGTGGTCAAAAGTACCCCCCCACCAAGTAAACCTGCAGAACAGTAGCAGACTCCCGCCATTCAAGCATGTGGATGTGGACCCGACAAAACCCGTGCCACACTCCCCCAAGAAAAAGCAGTCCTCATGGTGGTAGTGGTTAAGACTCTCGCTTGGCGTTTCACAAGCGCTTTGTCCTGGGTTTGTATCCTGGCCGGAACGGATTTACTGGGAGTCAATCCTTAACTGTAGCCTCAGTTTACCCAACAGTAAAATGTATACTGGTTGTTTAACGATTTGGCAGGGTCATATTCCGGGAACATAGAATTAAGGACTTGCCCAAAACGCTACGTGTGCTAGTCATGCATGCGCGCACACACACACAGGTGTGTGTGTGTGTCATTTCAAAAGGTGTCATTTCAAAAGGTGACACCCCTAGGGTCAACACTTGCAGCAGAGGAGCTCCAGCATATTTCAACAATCCTAAGTATTGTAGTACAGGTTGATGGTAGTGAGTGGTGTCCCAGAGAACATAAAGGTATAGTGCTCTTGAAAAATAGGTGAGATAACAGGAAAGTGCTAAGGGAAGTGAAAAATCGGATGAGAAAAAGTTGCCCTAGTGTTTACAGTGCAGAGAAGAACATTCAAGATGGCCACTGGCAAGGGGAAAAACAAAACAGAGCTTGATTTTGAGGGATTCAATGAAGAAAGCATTGATATTAGTAGTCTACATAACAAGTTGGTAAATTTAGATACTATAGTGAACTCTCATGTAGAAATAATTAGTAAATTGAAAGAAAGTAATGACTATTTGAATAGCAAAGTTTTATGTCTTGAGGGTTTAGTGAAAGACTTGCGCAAGGATAAGAATCAATTGGAAACAAATTGCAAAGCCATGGAAGAAGAAAATAAACTCTTAAAAATAGCTTTGGAAGAAGTTAAAGTAAATTTAAACATAAATGACTACAATAGGTTAGGCAAGGAAATTCAACAGGAGAAACAGCTTTTGTCAGCACAGATGGAGGAAGTTACACAGGGAATAGAACAGTGCAAGAAAGATATGCAACTCACTTATGCACAAGTGGCCAAGGAGAAGGAAAAAATAGAAGAAGCAGTAAAGGAAGTCAAACACTGCAGCAACCAAGATAAAACAAACATTAGGCTAGAAGTGAGGAAAGAATTGGCATCTAACCCGAAGTTGGTGCAAAACACAGTTGATCGGAGTAAGTCCCTGATCATTTTTGGCTGCAAAGAAAAGGCGATAACATCTAGGTCAGAAAGAGCTGTAGAAGAAGCTAAAGTAGTAGATAAAATTGTTGGCCTCGTGGAAGGTCTTACAAACAGAGAGAATGTGTGCGACTACAGGAGAATAGGCAGGTACGTAAAAGGGAAAGATCGACCTTTGAGGATCACCCTAAACGGTGCCAAACAGATGGAAGAAGTACTAAGGAATGCTAGGAAATTGCAAAGGGATGAGGATGGGAAAGGGTGGTCGTTAAGACGAGATCTTTCAAAAGAAGATAGAGAGAAGCTGAAACTGAACCTCGCCGAGGCAAAACATTTAAATGAGAGCAGGAATGAAGAAGAAATAAATTCTTTTTTCTACAAAGTGATAGGGGTAGGCAAACCAGTAAAGTGGTACATAAAGGCAAACCAACAAAATCAATAGAGAGAGGGGGAGTGAAGAATAAGGAGAGGGGGAACAAGTTCCTGAAGATTGCATACACCAACATAGATGGAGTGAGATCGAAGATACTGGAGTTAAGTGATGTAATACAGCTGCAGACACCAGACATTGTTGCACTCACGGAGACAAAACTTGAAGATGTAATTTTAAACGAGGTCATATTCCCAAGGGGCTACTCAATATGGAGACGGGACAGAAAAATTAGGAAAGGCGGTGGCGTTGCTGTGCTGGTAAAAGAACACCTAAAGGTGAAGGAAATAATGACTGCCAATCCACAAGAAGTTGACATAATAGCACTAGAGATCTGCTATGAGGATGATAAACTAATGATGATAAATGCATATAGTCCACCGCCAAGCAGCACATGGTCAAAGGAGGAGCTAGATAGTAAACGTGAAGGTCTTATAACAATAATGAGAGAGATTATAGCGAGAGCGGATAACGATAGATCACGACTGTTGATAGTCGGTGACTTCAACTTGAAATCCATAGACTGGGAAGCATATGAAGCTAAAACAGAAGATTTTTGGACCTGTAAATTTGTAGACCTCATCCTGGAAACATTCTTGTATCAACATGTTAAACAAGCTACGAGGATGAGGGAAGGGGACGTTCCCTCCATGCTAGATTTGATATTTACCAGGAAGGAGGAAGAGATATTTGACATTCAGTACCTTCCTCCCTTGGGTAAAAGTGACCATGTCTTTTTGGGAATAAAGTATGCAATGCATTATAAGCTGGAAGAAAATAAGGAGGTTGAAGCAGTTGAAAAACCAGACTTCAGGAGAGGACATTATGGTGACCTTAGAAATTTTTTTAGTGAGTATAATTGGACAGACTTGATGCTAGGCAAGGAAGTGAATGAAATGTATGGCAAGTTTTGTGAAATATATGATAAAGGCACAAAAAAATTTATACCAAAACAGAGATGCAGAACTAGGAAACAGGATTGGTTCAATAGAAATTGCGAGAGGGCTAGAGACCGAAAGACACAAAAATGGAATCAATACAGGAAGAGGCCGAACCCCCAAACATACCAGCGATACAAAGATGCGAGAAACAACTACACGGCAGTGAGGAGAGAGGCAGAAAGAAATTTTGAAAAAGGGATTGCGGACAAATGTAAAACAGAACCAGGTCTATTCTATAAATTCATAAACAACAAATTGCAGGTAAAGGATAATATTCAGAGGTTGAAAATGGGAAATAGATTCACGGAAGATGAAAAGGAAATGTGTGAAACACTAAACGAAAAGTTCCAAAGTGTGTTTGTACAAAATGAAATCTTTAGGGAACCAGATACAATAAGAATTCCAGAGAACAACATAGAACACATAGAGGTGTCTAGAGACGAAGTGGAAAAAATGCTCAAGGAGCTCGGTAAGAACAAAGCAGCTGGCCCAGATGGCGTTTCACCATGGGTTCTGAGAGAATGTGCATCTGAGCTCAGCATTCCACTTCACCTGATCTTTCAGGCATCCCTGTGTACAGGAATCGTAGCAGACGGGTGGAAACAGGCTAACATAGTTCCAATCTACAAAAGTGGCAGCAGGGAAGACCCCCTCAATTATAGACCTGTATCATTGACAAGTGTAATAGTGAAAGTATTGGAAAAACTAATCAAAACTAAATGGGTAGAACACCTAGAGAGAAATGATATAATATCAGACAGACAGTATGGTTTTCGATCTGGAAGATCCTGTGTATCGAATTTACTCAGTTTCTATGATCGAGCCACAGAGATCTTACAGGAAAGAGATGGTTGGGTTGACTGCATCTATCTGGACCTAAAAAAGGCTTTCGACAGAGTTCCACATAAGAGGTTGTTCTGGAAACTGGAAAATATTGGAGGGGTGACAGGTAAGCTTCTATCATGGATGAAAAATTTTCTGACTGATAGAAAAATGAGGGCAGTAATCAGAGGCAATGTATCAGAATGGAGAAATGTCACAAGTGGAGTACCACAGGGTTCAGTTCTTGCACCAGTGATGTTTATTGTGTACATAAATGATCTACCAGTTGGTATACAGAATTATATGAACATGTTTGCTGATGATGCTAAGATAATAGGAAGGATAAGAAATTTAGATGACTGTCATGCCCTTCAAGAAGACCTGGACAAAATAAGTATATGGAGCACCACTTGGCAAATGGAATTTAATGTTAATAAATGTCATGTTATGGAATGTGGAATAGGAGAACATAGACCCCACACAACCTATATATTATGTGAGAAATCTTTAAAGAATTCTGATAAAGAAAGAGATCTAGGAGTGGTTCTAGATAGAAAACTATCACCTGAGGACCACATAAAGAATATTGTGCAAGGAGCCTATGCTATGCTTTCTAACTTCAGAATTGCATTTAAATACATGGATGGCGATATACTAAAGAAATTGTTCATGACTTTTGTTAGGCCAAAGCTAGAATATGCAGCTGTTGTGTGGTGCCCATATCTTAAGAAGCACATCAACAAACTGGAAAAGGTGCAAAGACATGCTACTAAGTGGCTCCCAGAACTGAAGGGCAAGAGCTACGAGGAGAGGTTAGAAGCATTAAATATGCCAAAACTAGAAGACAGAAGAAAAAGAGGTGATATGATCACTACATACAAAATAGTTACAGGAATTGATAAAATCGACAGGGAAGACTTCCTGAGACCTGGAATTTCAAGAACAAGAGGTCATAGATTTAAACTAGCTAAACACAGATGCCGAAGAAATATAAGAAAATTCACCTTCGCAAATAGAGTGGTAGACGGTTGGAACAAGTTAAGTGAGAAGGTGGTGGAGGCCAAGACCGTCAGTAGTTTCAAAGCGTTATATGACAAAGAGTGCTGGGAAGACGGGACACCACGAGCGTAGCTCTCATCCTGTAACTACACTTAGGTAATTACACTTAGGTAATTACACACACACACACACACACACACACACACACACACACACACGAGAAACATCATTGGCAACTCAAATAGAGGCTAATAAAGAACTAGAAAAGTATAAAGAAGAAATAAGAGAGACATATGCACGAGTTGTAAAAGAGAAAGAGATGATTAAGGAAGTGTGTTTGGAAGTCAAAACCAGAAATGACAAACAAGAAGCAGATCTTAGGCAAGCAGTTAGGAAAGAACAGGTAACCAACAGTAAACTGGTACAAAACACTGCAGATAGAAGTCTATAATAGTTTTTGGATGTGTAGAGAAGGAAATTTCATCTAGGGTGGACTGAGCAGCAGAAGAGAAGAAAATCATAGAACAAATAGTAGGACGGATCCATCACAGAGGCACAATCCAGGTCGCACAGGATGTAAGCTGCAAAAGCCTCCCAAACCTCCTTGGGCAGGATGCGAGAGGCAGAAAACCTATGGAAAGAGGGAGCCGAGGAACCCAAGGGAACCCGGAACAGAACCCGGGGAGGAGTCGACCCCAAATCAAACTCGTACTGTACAGGGAAGAGGGTAAGAAAACCTCTCCCCCTGCAACAACAAACTCTGCGACGAGGGCACTAAAACCCAAGCAGGATCAAAGGGGGTCCAAGCCCCTAGGGTGACTACTCAGCCCCAGGATCCTCCAAGCCAGGCCCCGGGGCAGAGGCCCCATGCCCTCCACCCCTGAAAAAAAGGCAGCACAGAAGGGGTTCTGCTGGTAAGACCCAGAAGCCTAGGCATGAGGATCAGGCTCGAATGCCTCCATCTCCATCTCAAATAGGGCAGCCCCCAAAGCCTCCAGAGTCTCATCACCAATTAAACCCTGCCCCGACTCCGAAACCCTCATACGTTTCAGAGCCGACAGCAGGTGGGAGGGGGGAGGAGCAGGATGAACCACGCCCACCGAGAAAGGACCTGAAGGTGCAGACGGAACCAAGGTCAATGTGACCAATGCTCTCAGGTTCGGGTCCTGAAAATCAAAAACCAGGACATCCAAGCGGGCAGCCAACCCAACAAGTTACAACAACCAAAACGTATGATGTAACATCCACGCCGCCTGGCCCCTAAGAACTTCCGAAGAAGAATGGATAAATTGGAGTACAAACGGGGAGTTGAGGTGGCTATGTTCTGGCTAGTGGTCCCTGGTAGGCAGAACTCCATTGACTGAAGGAATATAGCATATATCAGTCCGATATCTCCAGGGAGCCGAAGGAGCTCCCTACAGAAATCAAGGAAAAATTATTATAGCATCATAATACTGTACATTTGTCACGAGAATTAAAATAGACAGTACACAGTAATACAATAAAAAAAAAACATTACCCAACTTTAGCAGAGTTGGCCCAACCTCCAGCCCGTCGTCCCGCTGGAGGCCCTGAGGCAAGGACATTCTGAGGAAATGACCAAGAATGATCACTATTTTGACACTACTCTCAGACTGCCACTTAATATAATACATTGCCCTTATAGCCTTAGTGCTTAGTAAAAACAATATTCACATACTGTACCACAAACTTGAATACAAACTTGAAAGTTAGTCCCTTAATGTCACAATAGCCGACTTAGTTATGAACAATAATTTAAACAATTATTGTTTAAAACAACTGTAACCTAATATTTCCTGTTTTGAGTTTGTGGCCCACTGTTAATTGAAAATTTTATTAAGATTAATGATTACTATATTATATTTATTCTTAGGACCCCATACTGTACAGCACAGTACAACATAAAGCAAGTGAAGTTTATCATTTTTGTGTAGTCCAGAGATAATCTTACCCTTGGTGATGGTGCATTTGATGTTAGTGGAGAGCCATTAACACCTATGTCATCATCAAAGCCCATAGAATCTGACCCCATGCCCAAGGCACGACGACCTTTCCGAGGAGATATCTGTTTAAAGTAAACTCGGTACTTAAACAAGCAATTATTGTATACGTGCATATAGACTGGTTTGTATTATAGAACATGATTATACAGGATATCAAAAAGTTATATGTAAATACAGAGAAACTTAACCTAAAAGACTGAAAATATTAGATCATGTATATAGTATTAACGTTTAAGGTTCACAAAATGGTAATGGAAATGTTAATGTTAAGTTAGGTTCGTACATAAAATTGTCAAACTATACATTGCTTTAGCAATGTACAACTTTAGCAATACTTTAGTATAACTTGAGTACAACTTTAGCGATACTAAGGGCCTGTAAAATGGTTTATTGCAAGGTATTTTTTATCACTATGGGATGCAAAACTTCGGTTTCTATATCACCTGCATGGTGGGGATGACATAACACCAACATAAAGTATATTAGTATACTGAACAGTACATAAAAGAATCATGATTTCCCAAGAATCATTAGGTTAAAATTAATTATCATATTTATTCAATGAGATCAATAAATATATTGTATTAAGAAGTATATACTGTACTAAAATTTTAAGATAATTATATAATGTTTCTATTAGCAATTTCCACAAGTTTATAAAATTAACCGATTTTCCTGAGGGCCAATAACCTTAGTGACCTCAACGAGGACAGGTAGCCAGCAGCTTGTCATAGGTCCCCCATTTGCCTTGATTTTTTCCAGGTAAGATTTTAAAACTTAACACAGTTTTGGCATTTATGGCTTCGGCGAGTAGGCCGTTCCATGGGTGAAAAAGCATCTCCTGTTCTCTGCCCTACATGCCAGTACAGTGGAGAGACCAGTTGGCCAGCCCATCCTCCTGTTTTGGTAGTATAGTACTTATAGTAACAATGAGGATCATGGTATATATATACTATCTTGAGGTTATCTTGAGATGATTTCGGGGCTTTAGTGTCCCCGCGGCCCGGTCCTTGACCAGGCCTCCACCCCCAGGAAGCAGCCCGTGACAACTGACTAACTCCCAAGTACCTATTTACTGCTAGGTAACAGGGGCATCAGGGTGTAAGAAACTCTGCCCATTGTTTCTCACCGGCGCCCGGGGTCGAACCCGGGACCACAAGTCCAGCGTGCTGTCCGCTCGGCTGACCGGCTCCTGACGTCTAACCTGTGTGACTAACATACAACGAATGTAGAAATCTGAACTACTGCGTTAGACAAACTAGAAAACTATATTTTACTTGAGTTGCTTTGACAAACTAAACTAACCTATCCTAATCTCCCTCGGCCTAATACATGATATCTGAGGCCTAATATAATACAAATGTGTACTATACTTAGGCATAGGAAAATTTAAGTTTGTGTTTTAACTTCATTTATTTTAAAAGAAATCATTACTAGTCAGTATACTACTATCTAAAAGATAAGAACGTACTACTTCTGACTATTGACGATCGTCACAATAGGTACTAGCTAAACAGGAGGATGGGTTGAGTAGGTTCATAACTGATTGGACTTGAATTTGATTCCCAGGTAGGGCATGACATTTGGGAGTTATCTTACACCTAATGCCACTGTTCATCTGGCAGTAAACAAGTATCCAATAGTTGAGCAACTGATGTGGGTTGCAACCTGATTGTCAATTATTGACTTATGGGATTATTAATTAAATTTAAAAATAAATTAATTATTAATTTCATAATTCATTGGGTTAGGGGACAGGCAGCCAGTATATACAGTACAGTGTATAGCAAGGTCTCCATTCTCCCCACCCGCCAAGGTCTAATTACTGAAGCCCAGAATGCAACCCCACAAGAAGTCGACTAACTTCTGGGTACCTGTTTACTGCTAAGTGGACAGGGGCATTAGGTGACCTTGGTTACCTTGGTGTGATTTCGGGGCTTAGCGTCCCCGCGGCCTGGTCGTCGACCAGGCCTCCTCGTTGCTGGACTTTTCAACCAGGCTGTTGGACACGGCTGCTTGCGGCCTGACATATGAGTCACAGCCTGGTTGATCAGGTACCCTTTAGAGGAATCAGGATTGATCAGGTTATTAAATGCGCCCAATCATATCTGTCCTGCCCAGGATTCAAACTTAGAATTCTCGATTGTGGGTCGAGATCATACGTTAGGCTTATATCAATGTCCCCCCCCCCCAAGATTGAACTACTGATCTTCCCCAGGATGCAACCCCATAATAGTTGCCTAACTCCTGGGTACCTATTTATTGCTAAACAGAGACATTTGGTGCTAGGAAACGTGTCCAACCATTTCTGTCCCACCGGGACTCGACCCTGGGATTCCTGATTGTGAATCGAAAACGGACCCACCTGTACTACCGAGAACTTGATAAGTTTAATATTTATTTATTTATTTATATATATACAAGAAGGTACATTGGGTTTGTGAGAATACATTGGATAGTACAGTATTTACATTCTTGTAAAGCCACTAGTACGCACAGCGTTTCGGGCAGGTCCTTAATCTAGCAGATAATTTTAAGTAGGTAATTTCAATCAGAATTGATAAATGATAAAGATACATTACAAGAGAAAAATGAGATGAGAGAGATAAGTATATTAAAGCACATTGTTATATTAAAGCTCTGATTGATTACATTGACAGCTTGATTAGTAATTTAAACAAGGTTAATAGACACCATACAGCAGATTGACAGCACATATAAGACAGCAATGATCACAATGGTAAAGATGTTCAGATTGGGTACATAAAGATTGGGAGACTGGGTAGCAAAAGATACAGATAAACAAGATTTATAAACACCATACAACAGATTGGCAGCACATATAAGAAAACAGCAATGATCACAATGGTAAAGATGTTCAAATTGGGAACATAAAGGTTGGGAGATTGGGTAGCAAATGATACAGTGCAATTTTAAGGCAAAAAGTGAAAAACTATGAAGATGAAATTAGGTATTTTTTAGTATTGATTTTGAATGATGTAAAAGTTGGACAGCTTTTCAATTCAGTAGGGAGTGAGTTCCATAAACTGGGTCCCTTTATTTGCATAGAGTGTTTACACAGATTAAGTTTAACTCTGGGGATATCAAAGAGATATTTATTTCTGGTGTGGTGATAATGGGTCCTATTACATCTGTCCAGGAAGAGTTTCAGACAAGGATTTGCATTTAAGAACAGGGTTTTGTAAATGTAGTTGACACAAGAGAATTTGTGGAGTGAGATTATGTTTAGCATGTTTAGGGAGTTAAACAAGGGGGCTGTGTGTTGTCTGAAAGCAGAATTTGATATTATTCTGATAGCAGATTTTTGCTCGGTAATGATGGACTTGAGGTGGTTTGCAGTGGTTGAACCCCATGCACAGATACCATAGTTGAGATAGGGATAGATTAGTGCATAATATAGAGAGATGAGAGCAGAGTTAGGAACATAATATCTGATTTTGGAGAGTATACCAACTGTTTTAGAGACTTTCTTAGTTATGTGTTGTATGTGGGTACTGAAGTCGAGTCTCTTGTCTAGGAATATGCCAAGAAACTTTCCATCATTTTTATTGCTAATGTTTACATTGTCAATCTGAAGCTGAATTGCATTTGTAGATTTGCTTCCGAATAGGATGTAGTAGGTCTTTTCTATGTTAAGTGTTAGTTTGTTGGTTGACATCCATAAGTGGACTTTTTTTAGTTCATTATTAACAACACCATTTAGTGTATGTGGGTTGGGGTTGGAGTAGATGAGGGTAGTATCATCAGCAAACAAAATAGGTTTCAGAATGTTAGAGACATTAGGCAGATCATTAATGTATATAAGAAAAAGAAGAGGTCCCAAGATGCTGCCCTGTGGCACTCCAACAGTTATTGGTAGAATGGGAGAGATTATATTATTGATGGCTACACATTGGTGTCTATCACTAAGATAGGATTGGATATAGTCCAGTGCATGGCCTCGGATTCCATAATGATGGAGTTTACTTAAGAGGTAATCGTGATTAACAGTATCAAAGGCCTTTCTCAGGTCAATGAAGAGTCCAATTGGAAACTCATTTTTGTCAAGGGCCGAGTAAATTATATCAAGGAGACTAATAATTGCATCGTTGGTACTCTTTTGAGAGCGGAATCCAAACTGACAGGGGCTAAGAATGTCGAATTTTACGAGATAGGAGTAGAGCTGTTTGTAGATAATTTTTTCAAATATTTTTGATAGTATGAGTAGGTTCGATATTGGTCTATAGTTGTTTATGTCTGACGGATTACCTCCTTTATGAACTGGCGTTACTCTTGCTTTTTTAAGGATATCAGGGAAGGTATGACACTCAAGGGATTTGTTGAACAGCAGAGCTATAGGTGGCGCAAGGGCATGGGAGGCGCTTTTGTATACAATGGATGGGATTTCACTGATGTTCCCAGCTTTGGTTTTTAGTGAGTGTATGATGGACACAACATCTGACGGGCTGACTGGTGAGAGGAGAAGAAAGTTTGGATAGCTGCCTGAGAGATATGTGTTGATATGTGTCTGAGTCTGTGGGATTTTACTTGCAAGGTTAGCACCAATCGATGAAAAGAAGCTATTAAATTCATTCGACATTACTAAGTCAGATGACAGTGTAAGGCCATCCTTAGAGAGTGTTATCTGGTTGTGGGAGTGTTGTTTAGTTCCCAGGATATTAGAGATGGTATTCCATGTGCTTTTCATGTTGCCTTTTGCTTCTTTGAATCTAGTCTCATAATATGAAAGTTTTGCTTTTCTTATGATACTGGTAAGCACTGATGAGTACCTTTTAACTACTTCCATTGAAACTAGGCCACTCCTAAATTTCTTTTCGTATTCATGTTTTTTGTTGATCGATTTAATTATGCCACTTGTGAGCCACGGGTTATTTTTTCTTTTATCAGTTACTTGTTTGGTAAGGAGGGGACAGTGAGTGTTCTAGAGGCTTAGAGTTTTGGAGAGAAAGAGGTTAGTTGATGAGCTTATATATCTGTGAATTATTAAATTCAGATTCCCAGTTAATATTGTGAAGTGCATTAGAGAGATTGCCTCTCTAATGGCTACACATAATAGTAGTATTGGGGAGTAGAAGAACTCCCAGAACCCCATCAATCAACCAGGCCTAAAGCTGATTCACTATGTAGCCTGAATGAAAGTTTTTTGGTTTCTGGTGGTGATGTGTCAATGTTTGCTATGAGGAAAGTAGGATAGTGGTCAGTTGTTCTGTCATAAATTACACCAGATGTAAGGGGAGCTGTTATATTAGTCCATAGGTGATCCAGGGTAGTGGCAGATGTTTGAGTGACTCGGGTGGGCTTGGTGATTGTGGGGATTAACATACAGGAGTGCATGCTGTTACGGAAATAGTCAACTTGAGGGTTGTTTTGAAGACCCAGGTCAATATTGAAATCACCTCCCAGAATGATGTGATTTTTGTTGAGATTGTTATTTATGATAAGATTCCTTACGTTGTCAGAGAATAAAGCTATGTTGGTATTAGGAAATCTATAGATGGCACCGATTATCAGGGAGGATTTAAGGGATTTACTGGAGAACTTGGCAAAGGTATATTCACAATAGTCGTCTCTATCACTAATGACACTATTGCAAATGAAGGTATCTTTGTAATATATTGCTGTACCGCCACCTTTTTTATTAGGCCTGCAGTTATGAATGGCTTTATAACCAGCTAAATTGTAGAGTTGAGTATAGTCATTACTTAGCCAAGTTTCTGTTAAAATGATGAAAGATAATTTAGTACCTAGCGCTGTAAGAAGTGCATTTATATCATCAAAATGTTTACCAAGTGACCTAACATTTTGGTTGTAAACTGATAGCTGACTGAAAATAGATTACCTGTCCCCCACACAATGGTGGACACTTTAATACCAACAATAATCACCTTCTTATTTGGCGAAATATTAAACTCCAAAGAATCCATTGTTGCTCTGGAGATACTTTACTGTTTCTTAAATAATGCTGACAATTCCTCTGCAATTCTTCTTCTTGATGGTCCGTGCAGGTTGTGTGAAGGATTTATTCAGCTCAGTATTGCCTCAAAAAGGGCTCGACATGGAGAGACTTTTCTTGGCTACTGGGCCGCCTTCATTGCCTGGCTCTCTTCTCTCCTTCTACCGCGTTCGCGGTGTTTTGTAATGTTTCTTCATCTATTTTATTAGGTTTTCTTCCACCATCCCTGCAGTGTCAGCCTCACACTCGAGGAATGTGTTTATTTACATCGCTGACCACGTGACTTGCGTCCTCACTTCTGATTGGTTGCACAGGCCAGGGAATTCAACAATGAAAATGGCAAATTAAATAATAAATAAATAAATAAATAAATGTTTATTCAGGTAAAGTACATACATACAAGAGGTTTTACAAAAATTGATAGATTTATAGATAAAGCTAGTACATACAACGCCTAAAGCCACTATTACGCAAAGCGTTTCGGGCATTTAGCGATTGTTTATACACTTGTATAAATTATGAGCACGCGTAAAATGTGCAGTTTTGTGTTGTCATGAATTATATACTTTTCTCTGTAATCTTTCATATAGATTAGGGTAGCAGTAGCTAAAACTGCATGTGATAAGCCTAAAATTGAGTTGGATACGGGCATTCCAATCTCTGCTGTAAAAGCTGCAATATTTCAGGAAATTAGGGAAGATAGAAGAGCAGTCACTGACAATTTTCAATATATTCAAGTTTTTTGTTTACCTTTTTACTACTTAAATTAGAAATTAAACTAGTTTTAATTCCAGTAACACTTTATTTCCATTAACTGTGTGCAAATCCGGATGCTGAGACTTTGAAGCTGTTCGCGACGAGTTAGCCGGATAGGAATCGAAGATTAATTATCAAAACAGTTAGTTGACATTTGCATTAAACACGATGAATTACATATAAATTATAGACGACGGTGAAAAACTATTATTATTTTGTTTTTAACTGTTTTTGAGCACTTCCAGAACATATCGTATACGTTTTATTTGAAGTATTAAATTATATAATATACAAAATAAAATCATGTCGGGTACAGTGGTTATAGACATAAAACTATGAGTCACAGCACAATTAACAACTCTAATATATTTAAAACACATTGATTTAGCCATTTTAAATCAACTAGTTGCTCAATTATCGCTAAATATTGAGGACCATCTCCACCTACTAAATAATTCGCGGGGAAGTGATGACTGTGGCGTATGTGGTCCAACAGCTGACAGCTCCAGCTGATAATGGCGTGAGATCGCAGTTCGATAACCCGGGAAGATACCAGAGATAAGGGCACTCAGAGAAGCCGCCGGCCACGCCTATTCTCAGGCACAGCAAGAGGAGGAAGACAGTGACTCCGGGTCAATATGGCTTCGCAGTGGAATGTCTACGAGAGCTTCCAAGCTCTCCTGCAGGTGTGTGTATGAGGCCATGGGACCCGGGCAAGCTGGGTCTACAGTCACTATGACGAGTTTATTGAATTTATTGCATTTTTATCTACAAAAACAAACAAAAAAGGTGTCTAATGGCAAGCCGATAACGTTACACACGTCGTATATTATATTATTAAGCTATGCCCGGAAGGCTTTGCCTATTAGTGACTTTTTTAAAATATGTAACTTTATGTAACGACTAAGTTGTTGTTTGGTTACTACAGTACAGTATTATTTTCTGTATATTTTTTGTAAATAAAAAGTATTATTAATGTTATTATGTCTTCTATAATAACACATTTGGTTTGGAATGTAGGCTAATTTAGAATATTTTTGGTTAGGGTATACTTACCTGTTTGACTTTAGCTTGCATATTATATACTATAAACTTAAATTATATACTGTGTATGTATCAAAATTCTCATAGAGATATATACATACAGACATTCCCACACTTACATATTATGTAGGTGAACAAATTACAGTGAAATTACACAATTTAGCTATGAAGTTTTTTTCTATATAGATGTGGTGCGATGAAGAGAAATAGTAATATATGGTGCAGTTTGAACAAGAATCGATATTTAATACAAACTTTGATATCTGTCTAATAATACCAAATGTCAGGTGTAATGGACTACAAACCAATGTGACAACTTCAAGCTCAACAAGCCACAATATAGGACAGCCAACGGAATATGATTTTGTCACATACACATAGTATTAAACCCATGGAGTCTTCTTCCCACTGAAGCCAGAAAGGGCAAAACAGAACAGCAGTTCAAATTTCAGCCAAATAAAATCGTCAGGAATAATGTGGGAACCGTTGACAAGTTTAAACAAGTTAAACAGGCTTCCTATTACTGTCTTATGATACTAGACAATGGACTGGAGATGATGACCCTTGATTAAAGTGAGATGTCTTGCTGATTATGGCCTATGTTGCCTAGGGCCGCACAGGAATTTCCCTGGGAAAACAAAAATTACCCTCACTCCCTGTTTCCTTTCTACTCGCTCGGCATGTGTGTCCACCATCTTCCAGACCTTCTCCTTCAAACTCAATGATGCACACATCACTTGTGCAAGATGGCACAGTCCTGCCATCGCCAGTTGTTTAACATTCCCAAACCATCTCTCTCTAACATTTTCATGTCTAACACACTTGACTCTCCTAACAAATACTTCAAAATTAATTTTTATTGTTTTAATTCTTGATTTTTAAATGTACATTCCACACCATTGTCTGGCAACTGTGTATAATTGTCTGCAGCACCACTTCTTCATGCAGGCCTCTGGCAGACCCTGATGGTTCTTTTTTGGTTCGCACGTATTTGTTTGCCAGAGTGTCGGTGCCTAGTCAGATCTTTAATGTTGGTGTATGGTTTGTGAATTTTCATCTTATGGTGATGAAAATTGGCCAGAAAAATATAAAATCACTGAAAGTAACACAAATTATAATACAATTTTCTTCATTCCAGTCAGCCATTTCAAATTTGTTGTTTTGTCAATCATGTTTTATGGCAGTCCCAGTTTGCCATTTATAATTATTATATGATTCCTTTATATTTTTACTGTCAGTTATACTAATTAGCAGAGCCTTTCATTCATCTGCTGTTGTTTATCCCCATTGCTAGATAATTGTATGTGTGATTCACTTAGACTTGTGATAGTAGTGGAGCAATAAGTAAAGTGTGTGTGTGTACTGCATGACAGGCTGGGCCATACCACCTGGCGCTGGAGGGCGTCCTGGTCATGTGCATCATCTGGCTCTTCACCGCCAAGAAGCAGCCCTCCAAGCTCATCAGGCTCACCAAGAAGGTAAGCATCTCGCTATCATTAATGATGGCCCAGTAGTCTCCATGGCAGTCTAGGGTACAAGCCACACTTTAAACCAGCCTAACCTAAGCCAGTACCTCAGAATTATACCTCAGTAACCTAAGCCAGTACCTCAGCATTATACCTCAGTAACCTAAGCCACTACCGCAGTAATGCTCAGCATTACTTAAGCCCTTTTTTATGAATTTGGTTCTAGGTCATAGTGTTAATTATCAGTAATTATCTTTTATATGATTAAAATTAAATGTTTAATTACTTATTCACTTTAAGTATGAGTTATAGATACTGGATTTCTTGTGTATTTGAGACATTTTTATCATTGAAGGAAATGTAATGTAAATTACACTCTGAACATCATTAAATTTGCAGACAACGCAAAGATTTATGGTAAAGTGGGAAATGATAATGATATTGAAGCCTTACAAAGAGGTATACATGAATGCCACAAATGGCCAGAAAACGCAAATGTTTTTTATATTTACAAATGCAAGATCTTGCATGTGGGGCATGCAAGTTGTGGCACCCATGCCACAATTACCAAATTAATATCATTACATTACAGCAGATTAATGAAGAAAAGGATCTTTGAGTCAAAATCCTCCACTCATTAAAAGTTGCACAACAGGTGGGTGCAGCAGTCAGAAAAGCTAACCAAACTCTTTGGGTAATCAAGCATACTTTTGACTATAAGGAAAAGAAGGTATTGGTTCAACTGTGTAAATCTTTGGTGCGCCCCCATTTGGATTACTGCATCCAAGCATGGAGACCTCATTTCCAGAAAGACACAGCTGCTCTGGAGAAGGTGCAACACCGGGCAACAAAAGTCATTCCAGAGCCAAGTCATATCCCGTATCAGGAATGGTTGAAGGCCGCAGGGCTATCAACACTGCAAACCGGGCATGAGAGGATGGATCTCATTGAAACTTAAAATACTGAATAAGTTAGAGGATGGTTATCTTGAGGTTATCTTGAGATGATTTCGGGGCTTTTTAGTGTCCCCACGGCCCGGTCCTCGACCAGGCCTCCACCCCCAGGAAGCAGCTCGTGACAGCTTACTAACACCAAGGTACCTATTTTACTGCTAGGTAACAGGGGCATAGGGTGAAAGAAACTCTGCCCATTGTTTCTCGCAGGCACCTGGGATCAAACCCAGGACCGCAGGATCACAAGTCCAGCGTGCTGTCCGCTTGGCCGACCGGCTCCCCTTAATGGTAATCCGGATATTTTCTTCAAAAGGTCAGATGTAACACAAACAAGGAGCAATAGTTTCAAGCTCAACAACCCACAATGTGGGACTGAGAACAGGAAAAGGTTTTTCACCCACAGGGTTATAAAGCCATGGAACTGCCTACCCGCCGAAGCCGTAACTGCCAAAACTGTGTTGAGCTTTAAAATATACCTAAAAAAGATCAAGGCAAATGGAGGGACCTTTGACTGGCTTCCTGTCCTCGTCAAGACCACTAGGGTTAGTAGCCCCTTGGGTAAACCCTTGCGTGACCTCTAGTTACATTTGTGATCCATCTCTTGTAAGTAGTTCTAAACCAGGTGTGTAGTTTTTAGTGTGTATTGTTATACAAATTTGTTGGTTATGTCACTCATTAATAGTTTTCAATGATGATTCAGGAAGAAGAGGAGCTGATAGCAGAATGGATTCCTGAACCACTGGTGCCAAACCCACCCAAGGATGACCACCCGTCACTCCACACCCGCACAGTCTACGGCAAGGTATTAGCGTACTACATTGGATTTTATCTTAGGGGAGATGGGGGATAGCCAAATAGTTCTGCTTAAGGTGGTGTTTTCATATTTTGTCATAACCTGATTTTTACATATGCAGTATTGTATTTGTGTCTTTCACATGTGAGGTACTGTATTTTGTATTGTTTAATGCTATAAAACAAAATTATAATGTGTTGGAGAAAATACAATAGAAAAGAACTGGAAAAGATTAAAATTTACCCAAAATGATGAAAGCTTTAAATGAATGTTATTTACCTTAGCCTGGACACTACTTGGATCTGGGATCTGGACAGAAACTACTCAACTTGGGCACTCACAATTACCTCAACCTGGGTGAGCGGCCCGAGGTAGAAGCTGCTGCCCTGGAGTGCCTGCACAAGTATGGGGTTGGGTCGTGTGGTCCTCGTGGCTTCTATGGCACTACAGGTGATCATCTCATTGTACAGTTCATTCTCTTTAAACCTCAAAATGCTCTCAATAGTTTGTGCCTATCCCCTGATACACATGAAATCTTCAGAGAAAGCTTATTACAAATGTTTTAAAAAAGGTTATTAGAAAAAGAAAATATCTAAAAATCCTCTGTATCATGGTTTAGCTGTTTTGTAGTTCTGGCTTTTTTTTATGTAGTATGTGACAAGTTATTGGGTGGGATGTCATAAAGTAATTACTCTTTCTATTTTGGACCTTCTTTCTGGGTGGGTGGGGGGGAGCCCTGTCAGCTCCCTGGAGCTATCCTGGCTAATATGAATGTACTAGACCCTGGTATCAATGTACATGGAGTTCTAGGCCTACCACTGACCATGAGCCTGAACTTGGCTCATGGTTTTCTTGGAACTTTTCTTGGAACTTGGTTTTCTTGGGGGAGCCGACGGGGCTCCCCCAAGAAAACCAGCGTTGAATGTAATGAAACGCCATTTTCTGTATGAAGCCTGGAGGCTCCCCAACAACCCTCCCTCCCTCCGGTCAGCGTTTTTTTGCGTGTTTTGACATCCAGCCTCAGAACTGACAAGTGGATAGCCGGCATGGGGGTCTGGGGCTCCCCCTTCCAGCGCCCGGGGAGGGGAGGGGTTGGGCAGACAGCTGCACAGTGACGTGGTGACGTCTTGCTCGTTTGCTCGTTTTCACTTGGAGAGTTCTGTCTGCTAGTTTGGTTTTCAGTAGTAATATTTTAACAAAAATAGGGGTTTGTTTCGAGGCGCTTACCTTTCTGGGTTCCTGACCCAGTCGATGGCAGACAGAATGCTCCCAACCACATGGGGCTTTCTATAGGACGTTGCTCCTCATGTCTCTTTGAGGGGGGCCAAGTTTTGGCTCGTGGTCCCTGGTTGGCAAGAACTTCATACACATTGAAGCTAGGGGTCTAATCGTCCCCCTATAGCTCCGGGGAGCCTCCGGTTCCCACCTAGAAAAGGGCGTTTCATTATATTCAAAGCTTTTTTTTTTTTTCACTTTATTTGTCTGCTTTTTCTATGGTCATACATGATACATTTTGATGTTGTTACTGTAGTTGTTTTAATGTTTTGTGTACATAATGTGAAACATACATATACAGTATATATATACAGATATACAGTTTGTGAATCACTATAACCCATGCCAGATACAGTGGTAAGGTACCTCAGCTTACGAATTTAATCCGTTCAAAGAGACGGTTTGTGAGCCAAAAATTTGTAAACTGAAGCGAATTTTCCCATAAGAAATAATGGAAATTGAATTAATCCATTCCTGACTCCCCAAAAAATTAATTTTAAAGTAAATTTTATACCTAATTTGCCCAAATCTTCAGTACTAAAATATGTACAAGTTATTACTTACCTCTACTGATAACTCTTGTTGGCGTATGCAAGTCGGTGAGGAGGTACTCGCCTATTTGCACTCACCTATTTGTGCTTGCGGGGGTTAAGCTCTGGCTCTTTGGTTCCACCTCTCGACTGTCGATCAACTGGTGTACAGGTTCCTGAGCCTACTGGGCTCTATCATATCTACACTTGAAACTGTGTATGGAGTCTGCCTCCAAATCACTTCGTAATGCATTACATTTGTCAACCACTCTGACACTAAAAAAGTTATTTCTAATATCGCTGTGGCTCATTTGGGCACTCAGTTTTCACCTGTGTCCCCTAGTACATGTGCCTCTTGTGTGTCCTTATCTACCCTATCAATTCCTTTGAGAATCTTTTATGTGGTAAATTCAAATTCATAGTTTTGGTTCAGCATATTTTGCCAATAACTTGTAACACTGTCACCACTAAATTTGCACATTTATATTTTTAATCCAGTTTTCATTATGTAGCCAATATTTTAAACGCATTTCGACTATTTAAAAAAAAACAAAAAAGTTTCTTGTACCTGCACTACCACTGACACCATTACCACATTATGATCACAATCAATAAAATTCACAATGACACTATTTTTCATCAGATTTGGTAATATGGTGCAGCTAATTGTCTCCACTTAACAATGCAGTTCTCTCCACCTTGACCACCAACATCAAACTTTGCATCCTGAACACTCATTATTAGAACAGTATGTGGCTGAATCCTCACTACTAGCATCATCACCACGAAGCATTGCTATGGCATTTATATAAGAATCAGATCGTATAGCACCAAATGTACTCCAACTGGCAACTCAAGGAATGAGTGTTGTTAGCTCAGTTTCGTGTCAAGTCACCCCACACAATTTCTCGATCCATTACACCCGGAAATCACAATAGCGTGATGCATCAAATAAACAAATCCACAAGGGCTGAAAGGCAGCGTCTGGGATGCTCTCGGACGTAGGTTCTAATCCACGTCACGGCCCTTGTGGATTTGTTCATTCTCAATCCATCTTTCCTTACTGTTATTGAAGCTTATTTCATTTACTGATGGTTAATATTCAGGACTCAATAAAACTCCCACAATACCAATATTTTCATCAATTTGGTTGCTTGTAAGACCAAATTTGCTGGCTCAGCACGCACACATTTCTGCCACAATCTTTGTAATGCAATACTCGCATTACTAGAATATAATCATCACTCCATTTTCTTGACTGTACCTGGAGAGTAACCAGTACTCCCCACTGTACCAGTACTTGCCCTACTCTTATTTTTTAAGCAGCTGTTTTATGACCTGTAAATCAATTTAATTGAATGAATTTCTTCACAGAGGTTCACCTGAAGTTGGAGGATAGGCTGGCAGATTTCTTCAACTGTGAGAAGGCTGTACTATATTCCTACGGCTTCTCCACCAGTGCCTCTGCTATCCCAGCCTACGCCAAAAGTGGAGACATTATCTACGCGTAGGTGTCAGAGCCTCCCAGTCCTCGATTTTAAATGTCGCTGGGCTCTTCATATATTGTGTATGCAGTAGTGGTGTTTGGTTTTTAAAATGTCATTATATACCTCTATACTGTATTTTATGGTGTATTTGACAAAGGCATTTTGTGGGGAAAAAAACAATTTTAGTACATTTTGTTATGCATTTATTGAAAGGGATTAACAAGTGGTTTTGTAGAGGAAAACATAAGATATTGTGCATGTAAATACAATATATATTTGGTTGATAGTGGATAAAAAACATGCATCCTGTATATAATAATAATTCATTGTGTCGGGGAACAGGAAGCCAGAGTGTATTCATACACGTTTGGCTTTTTATCGAGGTCCCTCACCCAAGGTGGAATTACTGACCCCGCCCAGGATGCAACCCCAGAACAAGCTGATTAACTCCGAGTACCTACTTACTGCTAGGTGACCCGGGGCATTAGGTGAGAGGAAATGTGCCCAACCATTTCTGTCCCGCCTGGGATAAGAACCCAGAATTTTCACTTGTGGGTCGAGAACAAATCCAACTGTACTACCAGGACCCTATATGCTGACAGATAAGGTATAATAATTACAGTGGTGGGACTAATGGTCCTCTTTCTCGTATATTATTTTGCTCCTCCCAGAGTTTAATTGATCATCATTGCACCTGATCAGTCAACAGCCAGGCGAGGAATATCTGACAGTAATGCTATAGGACCTAAAATGCTGAATCCGATCATATGAGCTGCTTAGCAGTCGCTGAACAATGATTAATCCAACCTGAATGACATATTCAAGAGTCTGTTAGGAAGTCCAGAGTAGCAGAGGCCTAGAGAGGTCATGAAAGTACAGCAGTGATAAGCTTTTGATAATCGTACAGCTAATCATTGAAGCTCCAGCTTGACGAACATCCAGGGAAGGGAATTTTCTAACCGACAGAAAAATGAGTGCAGTAATTAGAGGCAATATATGGGGTTGGAGAAATGTCACCAAGAGCTCCTTTTAGCAACAGAATATTTCAATATATAGCCGTAGGACATTTCAGTATAGCATGTTTGTCATTGTATCAACAATCCAGTACCTCTCTTATCAATGTGACCAGGGATGAAATGGTCAACTTTGCCCTCCAGCGCGGACTGCAAGCCAGCAGGAGTCGTATTGTCTATTTCCGGCACAACGATGTGGCTCACTTGGAGGAACTTCTCCAAGAACAAGTTCGCCTTGACAAAAAGGTACGATATATTAATTTTATACCTAGTGGGCCAGCAGAGGCTTAGGGACCATACAGGTCCCTTACATATCCCTGCAGAAAAAAAAAGTATATATACTGTACTGTATAGAGCATTTGTGTCCTTCCTGCTCAGTTTGCTATTTAATAAAATAAATCTTAAAATAGAACTTAAAATTTAGAACTTTAATGAACATAGCCTCTAGTATTTTATTTTCCGTGCTATTAGACACAATTGTTGCAATGGGAAATTTCATGTTTGTCCCATGCATAGGACTAAACATTCAAGGTTGGCTGAAATTTTGCCATGGCACACCAGTGATCTTTTCAGATTTCCCAGTCAAATCAAACTGGGGTAAAGACAACAGGATAAAATAATCTTGCTTGAAATGACCTTCAAAATCTTCATTCATCTAATGAGTATAACACTCTTATGCACTACTCTTGGTTATGAGTATAGATGACTTGAACCTCCTGTTGGTCATTCAAGGCTGGATGACATTGTCCTGCATCTTTCTTGCCTCGATATGACCCTTCGGGGAAGATCGAAAAGGTGCCCGGTGTGCTCCGGTACGGTGTTGACCTGTGTGAACTGTACCTTGTCTGTGGCAAGAGTTGCAACTTGCCTAAATTATCAGTCAAGTGCCCTCTTCAGAAAGGCACTTTTAATCTTCATTCAAAGCCTTATTTATTGATCTACTACAGGACCCAAAGAAAGCCAACGCAACACGCAAATTCATGGTAATTGAAGCCATTTACATGAACTCTGGCAAGATGTGCCCTCTGCCAGATTTAGTGAAGCTACGACAGAAGTACCAGCTGCGTCTCTATATCGACGAGTCTATTACGTTTGGTACTTTAGGGCCCAATTGTCGAGGAATCACCGACTACTACAATATACCGGTGAGTTTGTATTGCAATTAAGAGTTCAATATCTTGCAGTGACTTTTGGGGCAAGTGTAAATATCTGTATGTATTCCCTTCAAGGATACCTTATAAAATAGTTTTCACTTGGAGAAAATGGCAACTTTGCAGTGCCTGTGGTATAGTTAGAAAACACTTTTGCAGTCAGTTAATGTAATCAAATCTGGACCTTCAAACTAATTCCATTACACAACAGATCAAATGTGGCAAACAGATCTTCTCTTCAAAATTTTGGATTTGTTGAAAAAAATTGGGTTTTCAGAGGGGGGCGGGGATGAAATCCAAATTGTTATGTAGAGTAATAATTTGTTCTCATTTTTTTGCTAGTCTTACTGCTTTAAATGTACTATAATAAATATTGAAAATAATATATTTCTGGGGAAGCCCTTTGTGCGCTCCCTGAAGCTATCTCACTGAGATGGCTACCAACTACTGGGTCACATCAGCCATGGAGTTCTGTTTTGCTGACCAAGGACCAGGCCAGAACCTAGGCCCTCCCCCCCCCCTCATAGAGGGGCAGAGAACAGGCAATACTCTGTCATCCCACAAGGAAAGCATCCACATAATCAGTGAATTAATACAGACCACGGCTGGGTTCAAAACAACCCGTCCTCTTACAAATTATGTCGCGTTATGTTTGTCGCGTTACGGCCAAAAAAGGCCGTAATATGAAAATGAAAAAACAATTTAAATAAATTTTGGATTTTTTTTCCAAAACAGCAAGTTAAGGGTTCTCAGGTAGGTTAGGAGGGCAAGAAGTTCTTCTAATGTTTCTAAATGTCATGAAAACGATTATTTGAAAGTTTTCTCTCCTTACCTAACAGCCTAAGCCAGATGACGCAAAACAGAAAACGGGACAGTACATCACTTTCGTGAGCTGATTTCATTTGAAATTACGTCAGTTTTTAGCCTGAATGCGCATACGAGTGAAAAGCAACGTAATTTGTAAGAGACTGGTTGTTCAAAGAAACTGAAGCATCCAAACTGCCAAAAAAATCCCCCAAACACTGTAAACAAATGATTGAATCTCTCGAAATTAATGAATCGCAAGCTTATTAACACTGCCTCCCCAGCCAGTAGGAGAGGTGCTGGAGCTCCAGGTCTTTCCAAGTCCACTAAGCCAGTTCTGTTATTGATGCAAACATAATTAGTTGTCCTCTGTAGGGTTCCCAGGTCATCAACAAGGTCCTGCTGCTTCTAAGCTAGTGCCAGCCATCCTTAGACCTTGTCCTACAGGTCTACAGGTAAATGTAGACCTTGTCCAACATTTGCTTGGTCTACAGCCAACTACAGCCATCCTTAGACCTTGTCCTACAGGTCTAAAGTAAATGTAGACCTTGTCCTACATTTGCTTGCTGTTGTTCCATGTTTTAGTTACTTTCATGAGGATGTTTTCTGTGTGGTTTGTGTTGTGTGGACCTGGCTACTGTGGTTCTTGGAGCTTCATGTGCTTAGGGCTACCCTCCCTGCGTGTTACCTAGTGCTGCCCCTGCACTAACAGTGTATTTTGCTCTTTGGTGTGTTTGGGAGTTTGCTCTTTCTAGGCTGGACCATTGGGGTGGGGTCCTTACCTTGGGTGTGTCACGGGTCTTTTGCCCCCTCTGTCTAGACCAGTTGAGGCCCACCTGAAGCACTGCCGTCTGTTGGTGTTGAGTGGGCGTCACCACCAACAGCTGCTTGAGCAGCTGTGAGCCTCAACTTTGCCCTCCTTGTTTGCTCCTTGGGCAGAGTTTGGTTTCGGAGACTGTTTTGGTTTCTCTGGAGCCAGCTGTTCCTCTGCGGGTGTGGACTCGGCAAGCCCCTCGCTTGCTGCTGCATCACCAGCGTCCTCTTTGAGTTTTTCAGGGTTCAGTTCCCTGGTGCCTTCTTTCCCCCTCCACCTCACTTGATATGTTCACAGATGCTTTTAATCTTTGTTGGGGCTTTGTGACCAGTGCTCACGAAGCTGGTCAGGGGACCATGGTTCCCTCGGCTTCGTTGCGCTCACAGTACTGTGCAGGAGATTGCAACTGTATGGCATGCACTGTGAAGGGTCCAGGTCCCTCCAGGCTCCATAATGTAGCTCCATTCACTCTGTCTCCCTGTAGTTCATTGTCTCAACCGGGGAAGGGGAGGGTTCTCTTTGGTCCCTATCGCTTTGGAGCTTGACTCTACATGTAGTTCACCTTCTTATTTCTCTGGGTTTGGCTCTCCATGCCATTCTCATCCAGAGTGTGTTCATCATCCTAGTCACCGGTCTTTCTCGACACTGAATCCCTCCTTTGACTTTGCCAGAGGTTCGGGCACCCAGACATAGACCTCTTTTATCCGCTTGGTCACAGTGCCCTCTTGACCGGCACTGTTCCCCAACTGTGAGGCTCTTGTTATAGATGCTCTTCAGCTGGACTGGTTGAGGTGGGTAATTCTGTACCTCTTCCCCTCGTTCCAGCTCTTGCTCTGGTTTCTGGCAAAATTGGAGTCCTACAGGGAAAGGGTGATCCTTCTGGCTTCCTGGTTGCCAGCCCAGCCTAAGTTTCAGGCACTACTTATTCAGTGTTTTCTTAAGGCTTTTGTTTGGTCTCCCTCTCCTCGAATTGTCATGTGGGTGAGATTCTTGCTTTCCTTCACTGCCAGGGTGTTATTTTTTCTTTGGCCTTGGGGTTTGTTTTGTTCATCTGCAGGTGGCTCCTTTTTTTCTCATGAAGAATGGGTTGATTGGCTTCTGTAAAGGTCCGTTGGTGTTTGATGCTTGGTTGGTTCAGCCGAGAGTGCATCTTTCTGTGGGGAGCCCCTACGGCTCCCTGGAGCTTATCGGGCTAATGTATGTTATGTTAGACCGGGACATTAGCTAAGGAGTTCAGACCTACCAGGGACCAGCGCCAGAACCTGGCCCCTTCAGAGAGGTTTCAGGGAGCAATGGCCCTGGAAAACCCCATATGGTTGGGGGTTTTCCTTATCTGCCATCGACCGGGGTTAGGCACCCAGAAAGGTAGGCGTAACAAAACAAACCCCACATGGTAAGAAACTACAACAAAAACCGAACAGAGAGGTAGAAAACTCCCTACAATCCCAAGGAAACAAGCAAACAAGCAAACATCACACTCTACTGCCGCGCCGATCGTCCGCGCAGCCCTCCCCACCCCGGGAGGGGGAGGGGGGAGCCCCGGACCTACCGCGCCGGCTGCCAAGCTCCAGTTCGTTCGCTAATGTCAACCGGGATTGACGCTTCTCTGGCCTCAGTTTCCTAGGCGGTGTTTGCCTTGTGTGGCGTTCACTGCCGTGTGTTGTGGTGTGCGGTGGCCAGGAGTACTTCATCAGTGCCGGGGCTGCATGTGCTTAGTGGCTGACTTCCCTAAGCGCCCTGTGAGTACTGCCCTTGCGTAACAGGGTTATCTTCCCTGGGGCGTTCGGGAACCATTCCCGTAGAGGTTCTTGCTGCTCGGCATTTGCCTCGCCCTTGGGGCCAGCTGGGGCTTGGGGCCCTTGTTTGGCCCTGGGTAGGGATTGGTATTGTGCTGGTTAGGGCGTCAAGGTGTTGCGCAGCCTGCCACCTATGCGGCGGCCGGTTTCTGTTGCCTCTGGAGACGGTGTACTTTTGCGGGGTTTTTCTTTTGTTTTTTATTTTCTTGCCTGGTGGGGGTCTGCCTAAGGTGGTTATAGTTCCACTGGTAGTGTTTGGCGGCCCTCTGCTAGGCCCCCGTGCTTGTACACGTCTCAGGGGTTTTCAGTGCTATAATCTACCCTCTTGTTATGTTTGGGTTTCTTAACCGGTTAGCAACACCTTGCCCGGGCTTCCCGTAGTTGTTACCCTACGGGCCCTGGAAACCCCTGTCTGGGCTCGGGGGACCATTGAATGTGTCTTCCGGGTTCCAACCCGTCTTGAACGGGATCGTTGGTTGCTGTTCCCTTGTCTCCTGGTGACAGTCGCCATTTTTACCTCCGTCATGCTGCCTGTTGGGTCACTGACACCTTGACCCGGAGTCTTGCGAGTGATTCTCTGCTTGTTCTCCAGTACTCTCCTGATGTTATTACTGTTCAGAGTACAGGCGGCATCCATGTTGCAAGCTAGGTTAGGTTGCTGCAACATGCTTGGTTGGTTTCCCACTCGAATGCCCCGTGGCCGCCCCGTTTGGTTAGGTGCTGCTCGCCCCTTTCTCTCCATGTTCCCGGCTCCGGACCGTCTGCGGGTTTCGGGGTCGGGGCGGGGTTCAGTTGCGGCAGAGACTCGGGCGGTTTTCGGGGGATGCCCCGTTCGGGTTGGGGACGGAGGTTTGAGCCTGTGCCTCCTGCCAAGGCTTCTGGGTCTTACCAGCGGCCCTTTCTTGTTGCCTTTCCCATGGGCTCTTGCTTTTCTTTACAGGCGGAGGGCTTGGAGGACGGCTCTGCCCCGGGGCCTCTGTTGTTGGTTCCCGGGGCTGTGGGGGTTGCCTGCTAGCAGTTCTGGGGCGGTTTTGCCCCTTCAGGGGTTTTTCTGCTGTTGGGCGTCGTTTTTCGCCCTTCCAGTCTGCTAGCTTCCCACATTTGCTGGCGTGTTTTTGTGTATTAAGCGTCAGTCACAGCCCCTGCTGGCGGCCATTTTCGTCTGCCGGTTTCCCGGCGTGGCCACCAGGGCGGCGTTGCGGTTTGTTTACATGCGTCTGGGTGTGCGAGCGAGCGTCTCTGGTGAGTTTTCAAAAAATTTGCAGGGTTTTTGTTCTCCTGTTGTCGTTTCTTTGTTTTTCTGGTGTTTTCTTGCCGTTGCCTGTTCCTCTGGGAACGTTTGGGTGTTGATTTTGGGTCTGAGCCTCTGGGTTTAGGCTCAGTGCCCCTGGCTGGTATGCTTGCTCCCACACCTTGCCCCTCGGTTTTCGGTCTGTTGGGACCGTTTTCCCAGGGCGTTCTGCTGGGGTCTGTGCTTTGCCTTTTAGTGGTGTTCTCCGCCGGCAAATGTGGTGGTTTGGGCTCCCCCTGGTTCGATTCTGGGTTCCTTTGGGTTCCTTGGTTTCGTTCTGGAGGTTTCTTCCTCTTGGGCCCCCTTTTGTGGGTTCAGGGGACTTTGTTTCCTCGTGTGACCCGGTTCTGCCTTTTGGGGTTCCGGGGTCTTCCTGGCTTGCAGACTGAGCTTTTTGGGTCTTGGCACATGTTGTGGTTGTGCTGGGACTTTGTGGTTTTGCTGTCGAGGTGGGCCTTTAGATGCAGTTTTGTGCCTTCTTTGCCTGGCCGGCGTAGTGCTCTTTGCCACTAGTCGGCGGCTTGTGCTTTTACAATATATGTCCTCACCTAGTTGTGCTTGTGGGGGTTGAGCTCTGGCTCCTTGGTCCTGCCTCTCAACCGTCCGTCAACAGGTGTATCGGTTCCTGTGCCTCTTGGGCTCTGTCATGTCTACATGTGACATTGTATGGGGGTCAGCCTCGTTACTTGTGTGAGGAGTCGCCACATTACTTCTTCGTGCTTTCCCGTTCCCATTCTGACAAAAAAAAAAAAAAAAAAAAAAAAAAACTTTAATTCTATCTGTGGCTCTTTTGGGTACTCAGTTTCCACCTGTGTCCCCTAGTGCGTGTGCCCCTTGTGTTACATAGCCTGTCCTTCTCAAACCTGTCGATTCCCTTGGGTATCTTGTTTGTGGTGATCAGGTCTCCCCTCACTTCCTCTTCCAGCGAAGTGTGGTTTCATTCCCGTAGTCTCTCCTCATGACTTCGGTAGTGTACTTTTTCTTTCTGAAGGGGTTCTGTTCCCTTCTCTGTTGACTGGGCGCTGGGGGAGCAGCTTGCTCTGTTGCCTCTCGCTTGGTCCCGCTGTTGGTGGGCGCTTTGGGTTGTCTTCCGACCTCTGCTGGCGTCGGAGGACGGCTTCTCCCCCTTGGGGGGGGTTCAGAGCTGGCGGGGTGGATTTCTTCCCTGCGCTTCGTCTTTTCCTCTTCGTGGGTGCGTGGGGCGTGGTCGATCCGCCCCATCCTTCTGGGCTTCCCGTCTGCTCTTTGCTGTCATGGGCTTTTCCCGTCTGCTCTTTGCAGTCATGAGCTTTTCCAGTCTGCAGTTCTTCTGGACTACTTCCGTCTGCGCCCTGGATCCTCTGCCCTGCTCGGAGGACTGTTGTCTCCGGTTCGGATTCTGTTAGGGCCGGGTGCATGGATGGTGGACCTGGACCTCCAGGTCACTTCTTGGCACGTTCCTCTCCAGTTTTTCTGGGGCTAGCACGGTTGGTAATTACCTATGTGTACTTACCTAAGTGTAGTTACAGGATGAGAGCTACTCTCGTGGTGTCCTTTCTTCCCAGCACTTTGTCATATAATGCTTTGATTATAATTGTCATATTGTCATATAATGATTGTCATATGTCATAATGTCTTAATATGATTGTCATACAATGCTTTGGTGGTGGGGCTTCAGGTTTGCTGTTTTTATTGCATTCCCTATTTTGTGAAGGGCACTTTGTATACTCTTTGCATCTTTACCGGATCTTAGTGCCCTGTCTGCGTCTGAGATTCGGTGTCTGGCCTACCTCGACGACTGGCTGGAGTGGGCTCCCAGTCAGTCCGCTTGTCTGCTCGCCAGGGGTTGGTTCTTTCCAGATCGCTGGGTTTGGTTTCCTGGTGATCTGGAGGTTTTACCTTCTGTTTCCGTCCCGGGTTCGGACCTGGGCCTTGTTTCAGGCTCTTGGGCCCCTCATTGTCTTCCCTCCAGAAGTGTTACTGTGGCTGTGGTCCCGCCTTTGGCTGTTCAGGCTCACAGCCCGGTTCAGGTGTTCCTGGCTGTCTGGTTTGCGCTTCGGAGGGTTTGGGTCACTAGGTACTCTACCATTCAGCTCTGTTTGGACTGTTCTCTGGTGGTTCTTGCCGGAACCACAGGGGGTTTGGTTAACCATGTGGTTCGTGTCCGGGGTGTGTCCTGCGTCCTGGTGGACAGCTGTCTCGGTTCATTCCTCTTCGTGGGTTGGCCAGTCGTCGCCGATTCGTTTTGTTGGCTCTGTTGGGCTTATGGACTCCTGGCCATGGACGTCTTCGGGTCGGCGTGGTCTAGGCGTCGCCCGTTTTGTGGCGCCCTTCCCACCTGCGAGGACTTCCCGGTGGAGGCTTTCGGCAGGCCTGGTCGAGGTGGGGGGTACCTGTACCTCTTCTCCCGGTCCAGCTGTTGCTTCGGGTTCTGGCTCGGTTGCAGCCCATTCCCACGAGAACAGTCCTTATGGTTCCACGGTGGCCGGCCCGGCCTTCTTTTCAGACGCTGCTTGATAGGTGTCCGTTCCCGGGGCGTTTTTCCTGAGGCTTCGCCTCTTTCAGCAGGCCGAATCGGTCCTGTCCGTGACTGGTTCGGCCCTCTCTTTGGCTCTTCGCGTCTGGTATTTTGACGCAGGTATCGCCATCTCTATGGTGTTCAGGTGGCTTTGTTGACGGTGTCCCACCTGCGAGCTTCGTCTTGGAGACTGTATGACGTTTATTACGTTTTCTCGCGTTTTGTTTCCCCTCCGGCCTGCTCATGAGTCGCCTGAGCCATCCTGGTCCTTGTTCAGGGTGCCTTCTCTTCCCCTCAGTTTGTGGTAGCCCCTTCGGTTTCAGTTTCCTCCTCTTTGGTACTGGTGGTAGCTTTATTGGTGTGCAGCCTTTCTCTGTCCTGGCGACGGTCGAGACGGCTGCTTTCCGGAGGGGTTCTTGGGGTATTGGTGCTTGTTTGGTTTGGCCGGGGGGTGCGTCCTGTGTTGTCCAGTTGTGCTTTTTGCTGTTGCCAGCGTACCGTGCCTGGGGATGCGCTGTGGTTGATCCGGTTCCTTCGTTCCCTGTTTTCAGGGATCGGGTCTCCCGGGTCGTCCGCAGTGTTTTCCTTCTTCCTGCGGTCTGTCTTTGCGCCCGTGCTGTTCAGACGTTTGCAGCAATTGCTGCTGTGTTGGTGACGTCTCGGGCTCATTTCGGGCGCAGGGAATTGTGGGTCGCACAGGTTTTTGGCCGCCCATCCATATGTGCGTCTGTTCTTGGGCGTTCTTGTTGCCTTGGGTCACAGGTTTGCGACCGGTTGTCTTGGCTTTGCGTTGCAGAGTTTGTGGCGGCCGCCTCCCGGGTTAGCCCTTTCTTTTCCTTCTCTTTGGGTATGAAGCTCCAGGGAGCCGTAGGGGCTCCCCACAGAAAACCAGCGTTGAATGTAATGAAACGCCATTTTCTGGGTGAGCCCCGGAGGCTCCCTGGAAACCCTCCCTCCCACCGGTCGGCGGTTTTTTTCGCGTTGGTTGAAGCTTAGCTTCCGAACTGGAGCTTGGCAGCCGGCGCGGTAGGTCCGGGGCTCCCCCCTCCCCCTCCCGGGGTGGGGAGGGCTGCGCGGACGATCGGCGCGGCAGTAGAGTGTGATGTTTGCTTGTTTGCTTGTTTCCTTGGGATTGTAGGGAGTTTTCTACCTCTCTGTTCGGTTTTTGTTGTAGTTTCTTACCATGTGGGGTTTGTTTTGTTACGCCTACCTTTCTGGGTGCCTAACCCCGGTCGATGGCAGATAAGGAAAACCCCCAACCATATGGGGTTTTCCAGGGCCATTGCTCCCTGAAACCTCTCTGAAGGGGCCAGGTTCTGGCGCTGGTCCCTGGTAGGTCTGAACTCCTTAGCTAATGTCCCGGTCTAACATAACATACATTAGCCCGATAAGCTCCAGGGAGCCTCCGGGGCTCACCCAGAAAATGGCGTTTCATTACATTCAACGCTGGTTTTTTTCTTTGTCTGGTGGCTGCTCTTTGCCACAACCTTCGTGCCCCTGGTCCTGCTTTGGTGGACTCATTGTTGGTTGATCCAGTTTCTCTAGTTCCCTGTTCCAGGGCTTGTGTTTCTCAGGTCGTCCACAGTGTTATTAACTCTGGCCAACCTGCAGTCTACCCTCATGCCCGTGCTGTTCATACATTTACCTCTCTTGGCTGTACTTGCCCATATGTCTTGGCCTGATTCTCAGGCACACGGTCTTGATGGTCGAGCAGGGTCCTAGTGGCGAGTTCCCTTCTTTTCCTTCTCTGTGGGTAGGTAGCTTCATGGAGCCAAAAGAGGCTTCCACCAGAAAACCAGTGTTGAATATAATGAAATGTCAATGTCTGGGTGAACCCTGGTGACTTTCACACCCTTTTTGCCTCATGGAGTCAGGGGGCAGTCTATCATCATAGAGTTGAGGGTGGAGCAGCCAGCTGACCTGGTCTACCTCCCTTTCCCCCCCAAACGAGGGGGAGAGGTGGGGCGAATGAGCTTCTGCTAGTATAATGAATTTTCAATTGTTTACATTGTTGGGGGAGTTCTTTGTCAATTTTGAAGTGTTGTTCTTCCTTATATCCAGGAATGATTAATTTTGTTTTGCTGACTTTGTGGGTGCTTCCCCAGTAGTGGTGGCCATGATTAAAATTCACTGACAATTTTATCATAGTGCCACTGATCTCTGTGCCACTTTAGAGGAGGCCAGGTTCTGCTTTGTGGTCCCTGGTAGGCTTAAAAGAACCCTATGACTGATGGCACCTAGTAGTTTTGCACTCTTATCAGCATTGTAGCTTTAAGGAGCCACTTGGGCTCATCCAGAAATTGGCTTTTCATTTCATTCAATGCTGCCTTTTTATTTAAAAATTCAGTACATGTGGTGATTAATGGGAGTTTTGTTTCTATATATTAGCAATAAAACTCAATGTTGTACATACTGTATGTAAATGTAAACATAAATTATATGCAACTTATATGTAAATACTGTATAAATTACATGGAGAAAGACATTTACCTTTCCATTAGTGTGTAAATAAGCGAGTGCAAAAGTCATGCCACACTATACGACAGTACTGTACATGTATACAGAAACATGGCTCATTCCACATTAATGTTGATTTGTTTTTTCTTGTGCACCGATCTGATTAGATGAAGGAAGTTGACATGATCATGGCTACATTGGAAACATCAGCAGCCAGTTCAGGCGGGTTCTGCGTGGGAACAGAATTTGTTATCGAGCACCAGCGTTTGTCTGGTCTTGGCTATTGCTTCTCGGCATCCCTACCCCCCATGATGGCTGCTGCTTCTATTAAGGTGAGCCTTTGTTGCATTTTGTGATGGTGGATCGGCATCATGTAATGGGGAACCTAGGTAATCCGGAATTATTTTTTTCCGCATTTGATAAGCTAGACTGGCTTTTCTCAACGGGTTCCCCAGAACCCCAAGATCACTAGGGGTTAAACAAGAGATGGTGATAATTCTAATCATATGCAAATGAATTTTGGAGTCATTTTTGTGTTGCTCGTTTAACCCGTATGTATCAAGAGCGAGACAGAAATCAGCACTCTTTAGTTGACAGTGTCAACAACCATGTCTGTTTATCTTATGTATGATCTGGAATTATTTCAAGGGTACAAAGGTTGAGAAACGCTTAGCTGTATATAGTACAGCCATATGGGCTTAGCACTTTATTTTGATAATTACTTGCATCATACACATCTTGGTGTATGATGGTGCATAGCATCACAGTGACACTATATATAATCAGTGATGAACTACTGTCATGGCGATGCTCTATTGTCATTGTGATTATATAGTGTCATGGTGATACTATACTGTCACTTTGATGCTTTACTGTCACTTTGACACTACTGTACTGTAAAGGTGACACTATACTGCCATGGTTATACAAGAACATTACTTAACTTTAAAATTCACCAGGAAAAAATCCTCGTGACAAAGGGATGGACATGATGAGCCTCTAGCTTCATGTCCCTGTTGAGGCCACTAGAGATGGTGGCCCTCAGGTAAATTCAGGTCAAATCACTTGATAAGTGACTGTGTACCATAATACATTTCATCTTCAATCCTTTATTTAGTGCACAAGAAGTTGCTATTGATAAGGGAAAATTTTAAATGTCATTTTTGTTTGTAATATGTTGACCAATCCGGCAGGTGCTGGACATCCTTGAAGCCGAGGGCCCAGATATGGTGGTGGAGCTGCATGACAAGTGCCGGCAGATGCAGGACGCACTTTCCAAGCTTCACGCCAAGGTGAGTGCCATGGCCCGATGCGTCTTGTGACGTGCATGATTGCTCTTTAGCTTAAGTAGATTTCTGAACACTAGGGACCCGACACCTCGTGTGTATCATTTGTTTACGTTAGAAAAAAAAAGTTTGGCCAGAGTTTGACACAAAACAAACCTTGATCATTGAGAGGGAAGAATATATAAAAATGCCAAGATGAAAGAGAGAGACTATCTACGTAGGTAATGTTTTTGCCTAATCAAGCTCTTGATAGCTGAAATGTTGTCTACTTTTTGATAATGTTTTGGCTGTTTCAGAGCTGTATCAGGCAAAACCTTATTTACAAATAATTTTCACTCATGTTGATGGCACACACTAAATCAGTGGTTCTCATCCTTTTTGAACTCGCAGCCCTATTTTCTAATATTCCTTGCCACACATTGAACATAATATGTTCAATTGCATCCTCTCATCAGTGTTTTCTGGAAGGCTAAACTAGACTGACCCAGTGGGCAGTCCCAACCAGTTGGAAACCAGCGTTCTAAATCAATGTCAGCAATTTGAACTCCCAACTAAAAGGACAGAAGACTGCAAATATCACATGGTTTCCCATTGTTGGAGGTAGGAAGCCTATTAGGTTTATTAAGGTCTCCCAAGGTCATTGACTGACCATCCCCAGGATGCAACCGACACCAGTTGACAAACTCCCAGGTACTTATTTGCTGTTAGGTGAACAGAGGCATCAGGTGTAAGGAAAAGTGCCAAAATATCTCGTTCGGCATGGGAATCAAACCCGAGCTCTTATTTCTGTCCTGCTTGGGGACAGTGTATACAGTACTGTTTTCAGTGTGTCTATGATGAGTTCAAGTTGTGGTGTGCGTAGTCAAAGTATCACATGGATGCTGAGTTGGGTCACTGTGGCGGTAACATGGTCAAGTTCACATGTTATTGTGGGACAGAACAAAAAATCTTTTTGTAATGTAATTATGAATAAGATAGATACTGTTTGTGTATTTAATGTTGTTTCCTGTTGTGATTTTGCATCTGGTAGCTGGCCAAGCCACACTGCAACAATTGGCACGCTTTTTAATTATTACAATCTAAAACATTAACTGATACAAACCCTATGGCTGTGAGAAATTGCATATTATTAATTTAGAGATTTATACTTTTATGTTGGGATTTCAGATTGAAGTTAGCGGCGAGGATATTAGTCCAGTGAAGCATCTGAGATTGGTGGAGACTTCCGCTAATAGAGAAACAGATGATGCCATTCTGCGAAAGATTGTGGACAAGGTATGTAATGTATCAAAAAAATTGTGTAGAAGATTAGCCAAATTTTTGTGGTGAGGGTGTATGATGCATCATCAAAACTTTTCATTGTCCAGTCATTGCACCCCCAATACTTGCTAAACCACTCTGTTCAAATACTGTACCAAGATATACCAGCCCAGGAATAGCTATTTTTATAACAATCAAATCATACTTAATTTTTCAGATGTTTTTAATTGTTTCATAGTTACATAATGAAGGCATAGCCTCCTGGCTAGTCACTTATATCACATAATTCTCTATATATCCCTACAAGCAATCTCCATGTATTTAACTGCCTTTATCCACACATATCTTCATTATTACTCTTCAGAGTACGTATGTCTGTTTCCATATTTTATCTCTGAGCGTCATCTTCCCAGGCGGAAAGTTACGGTGTGGCTCTAACCTTGGCGTCATACTTATGGGAGAAAGAAGCAAATCCTCCGCCACCCTCAATTCGTATCACAGTGAACAAAGATTTGACGAGAGAGGAGATGCAGAAAGCTAGTGAGGCCATACGGAGAGCTGTGACCGACGTGTTGGAGTAACTGTCATGTCACGTGAGCTATTTAATGTTGGAGCCCATAACTACTTTTCAAATTTAAAGCTATATAGTTAAAATTTTCAAGTTCAGTTTTGCTGGAAACATAAATTTAACTTGCTTTTAAGAAGTAACATAAATTTGACTTGCTTTTAAGAAGTAACATAAATTTAACTTGCTTTAAAGAAGTATTTCAATGCCATTACATACAAGAGATGGAAGTGGACAAATGAGGGTTATCATTACCTGTACGCAGTCGGAAGCATAATCACTGATGAAATAAGGCTATGATATTTGTCAGTATTTGTGTATCTATTTTGGCCCTATGTGCTGATAAGTAGAAAAGTTGAAGCACTCTGTTCTCTGGATCAGTGCTCCAAATAAAAGTAACAGAGCCTAGGGGGAGCAATAGAATAAGAAAACTGGCACATGTTTAACATGTATATTTAACAGTCAATGTTCCAACCTGCTAGAACTATTTAGCCACATTGTCGCTAATAGCCCCCAAGTTTACATTTTGCACGTGTTCTTGAACACTTTTGAGTTAAACTGTAATAACATTTCTAGTTGACATGGTGGTGTTTCATTCTATGGGTGTATGTCTTGCCACAATTGAATCTCACGATACTACACCCAGCATTCTAGATTTGTGCTTAACAAGACCTGCTTAAATGAGGACTGTAGAGGAATGTACTTACTTCATTACAGTAACCTGTAAAGCTGGGGTCTCCAAACTTTTCACTGCAAGATTCATACCACATAATTTACACATTTTTGTGGGCCAAAGAAAAAATTGATTACTAATCGGTCAACTGCTTGACTGCACGGTTGATAAAAACTATGGGAAATAATTAATTTTATTATTTATATATCAATTTCAAGTTGCTGCAAGCTGGATAAAATCTTGTGGTAGGGCGGATATGGCCTGCAGGCTGGAGTTGGAGACCCCTGCTGTAGAGTACTTTTTCAGGAGCAAATAAATATTTCATATTACTATCTAATAAACCTATTATACCTCAGTGTTATAGCTGTCTGTCTGTTATATATATATATATTTAAAGAGAAGATTAATAATTTAAATTACTATATCAATTATTTGTTTGTCAATGTTTGATATTGCTAGTATTGAATGGATTAACCTTTGTTGATGTGCTACATTGTAAGCAGGAACTGTCATAATAACGTGGCTGGAACAAATAATCTGACTCTCATATCTGAAATGAAACAAAAAGTTACAATGTTTTGGGCCATCGTGGACCCTCATCAAGTCATGACCAACTTGATATCAAGTTGTTACATAATATGAATGATAAAATTTTGGTTTATCTTGGACTCTTATTAAATTCACTTCTTGATAAGGGTCCAGGACGGACTGTGAAATATTGCCACCTTAATTGTACACATGTGGGAGCCGGTCGGCCGAGCGGACAGCACGCTGGACTTGTGATCCTGTGGTCCTGGGTTTGATCCCAGGCGCCAGCAAGAAACAATAGGCAGAGTTTCTGTCACCCTATGCCCCTGTTACCTAGCAGTAAAATAGGTACCTGGGTGTTAGTCAGCTGTCACGGGCTGCTTCCTGGGGGTGGAGGCCTGGTCGAGGACCGGGCCGCGGGGACACTAAATAGCCCCGAAATCATCTCAAGATAACCCTCAAGATATGTGGCTTGGATTAACTGTATTGTAATCTTAACTGTACATTTAGGACACTGCTAATTATCATAATTATCAAGTCTGGTTGGCTTCATGAAGTCATTTTAGAACTATGACCTAATGCAGATAATTTTCTGCTCCCATTTAGTGTCTGTATTATTAATATATATATATTTGTTTATTAGATGAAAGGAAGACATGTAACATGTGTGTACTGTTCAAGAGCTGAAAGTGCAGCTATCTTGTCTGTTTTAGTGGGGTGTAATACAAGGAATGTCTTAAGGCTGGAAAGCCCATTGATTATTAGGAACTGCAGTATTTGTACCTCATTCCATAAATAAAATTTGTTCACAGTATTTGATAATTTTCTTCTTTGCAGCTCATGTTACCATTCTAAATAGAGGGTGAAAAGTTTGTGGGCTTCGTATAGGCACACGTAATATACAATGCTATTACTATATCCATTAGTGTTGCACCATCTCTCGCTGTCCATCCTGGTGGTTGTGCCGTCTTCTTCTCAGCAGTGTGCAACTGCTTATACTATTTTTCCATTTTCTAGCAGTCAAACATTAATTCAGGTGAGCAGCACTTCAAAATACCATATATTGTGCCAGATAGGACACATGTTTTTGCTCCACCATCAACTGAATTTACTTTGTATTTATATACACAAATCATATGTTTTCCCTACAAAACCATTTTGAAAATCACTTTAAAAAAATGCATAATGAAACATACTTAAATTGCATTTTCTGAAGAAGCTCTCCCATAGCACCCCTGAAGCTATCTTGCTGAGAATGCTCCAGATTAATGGGTTACGTGAGTCGCAGGAGTTTTGTTTGGCCTACCAGGAACAAGAGCCAGATCTTTGCCCCTTTACAGAAGGCACAGGGAGCAAGTGACCGTTTGCCACCCTACCACAAAAGTATCCAGAATATCAAGGCAGCGATGAGTCAAAATAACGTGGCTGAAGTATGTTGAGTATGCACAATCGACTTGAGAATGGTCCAGGACGGACCGAAACGTCGTCGTCCCTTCACCTTCTAGTGTGTGGTCTGGTCAACAAAATCAAGGAAACTTTGCCAGTTGTCCTGGGTCATAGTGGCCCAGCTGAATTCCTGGGGTTTTTGTGTGTTAGTTTTTGGCAGCTGGCTGGATTGGGTCCCCAGGTGGGTGGTGGTAACTGACCAGGGTTGTGGTTCCTCGCAGCTTGCCAGATTCAGATGCTGGTGGGCTTGCAGGAGTTGCAGTTTTTCTGTCCCTAGTTTGGACCTGGCTGGGCCTTGTTGGGGTTCTCGAACAGTTATCTGTTCTTGCCTTCAGCAGCCTTGCTCTGCCTGCAACTTGGTCACCCTCAGGTATTGGATTGGCCGAGAGTGCCTTGGCTGTTGGTCAAGCAGTTGTGTAGGTGTCTGTCTTTTATTCTGCATGTTTTTCCCACTGGGCTGGGTTGGTGTTGGGTGTTTTGCCCATTTGGGTCCTGCCTGCCCTTCATCAGCTCTGGCTTCTCTAGGTTTTCTTCAGGTTTTCAAGATTCGGTTCCAGGGTGCCACCCTTCCCAGTAGCTCAATGTGTTCATAGACACCTTGGCTCTGAGTTGGTCCTTCAGGGGAGCTCGCTTTGGTCCTTCATCTTATGGAGTTGAGCATTTCAAGTACAGTAGCTTGGATTTTGGTTTCTTGGGATTTGGTTTTCCACGCGGTTCACATGCGGAGTATTTCCAGTGTTCTCGCAGATTGGTTATCTCACTTTCATTCCAATTCCACAGTGGACCATCAACAATGCGACCTCTTGTCTCTGGGAGACTTGTGGTCGCCCGAAGGTGGACCTCATCGTGTTGGCATGGAACTGGCACCATCCTATGGGGGTTCTGTTCCCTATTCATGGGGCTCTTGTGGTGAATGCCTATCACTGGACTGGTCCAGGTGGCAGTGCAGTTCCCTTTTACCTGGTTCAATTGTTGCTCCGGGTTCCGTCTAGTTCGGTTGTTATACTCATGGAAGGTGATCCTTCATGCTCCTTGGTGCCCTGCCCAGTCTTGGTTTCCAGTGCTTCTGGCCTGGTGTACCAACCTGGGCATATTTTCTGTTGCTTTGCATTTTTCAGCTGCTTGGCCTAACTTGTTACTGGTTTGACCTCCATTGCTCTTCACATCCGTGGATTTTTTTATGTGGATCTATCACAATTTGCTTGGCAAGCACGTGGCTGGATTCATGGTGTCCCACTGCATCTATCTTCATGATGGCAGTATGAAGTTGCCTGCTACTCATTTTACCACTGTGTGTCTGTGGGCTTTCTTCCGTTTGTTAAGGTCATCCTGTCCTTTTTGTCTTGGGTGTTTCTCGATCAGTGTCCCATGCTTATTACTGTCACCTCTTAATGTTTGGTATTGGAAAAACTACTGTTGCTTGTACAGTGTATTCTGTGTCGATGCCTCGATGCTGTTCTACAAGTTCTCTCTTGCATTTTAGTCACCTCCAGTTGGCTCATGCTTCTGAGCCTTCCTGCTCTCTTGACTGTGTTTTGGTCTCTCTCCTCACCTCTGTTTACAGTTTCCCTTTGACTCATGATATCTTTCTCAAGACAGTACCTGTGTATTTGTTGGCTCTTGCCTTTGTAGATTTGGAGGCAGGGGTTCTGTTCTTTTGGCTCTGGTGAGTGGTTTGTCTGGTTACAGCCCTCTCCTTTCCTAGTGAAGAATAAGTTGGCTAGTTTCCAGAGGAATCCTTTGGTAATTGATGTTTAGTTGGTTCAGCCAGGGGGTGCAACACTTGTTTGGTGGCAGTTCTTCACTGCTACCTGCGGACCACCAGTTCTGTGTTTGTGGATGCCTTCTTGGTTGATCCCCATTTCCTTAGTTCCCTGTTCCATGGCTTATATATTATAGATCATCTGCACTGTTATTGAATTTAGATAGCTTTTGGTCTACCCTCGAGCCCGTGATGTTTGCATATACTGTACAGTAATGTACGTGACTTTCGCCGTGGTCATCTTCTACATATCCTGGGTTGATATTTGGTCTTGGGGGTTTTGGCATTCTAACAGGGCTCTGGCAGTCCAGCATTTGGTTAATATTCCTGGTCCAAGTTGATCTTGTGTTGCTTTGAGCCATCTCTCCAAGCCTGTGTTTTCTTCTTTGTTCTAGTGCCTGCCACTACTTCTTCCTGGTAAGACCCATTTTTGTTCTGTGGTTAGTTAGCTTCAGGGAGCCACCAGGGGAGCAGCTTCCCCAGAAACAGTGATGACTGTAATGAAATGCCTCTTTCTGGTAGAACCCTGGTGGCTCCTTGGTTCTCTTCCTTTCAAGTTCATCAGTTTGTTGGCAAGCTCGTTATTAACTCCAGAACTGACTTGGGGAGCCGGCTGTGTCCCAACAGGAATCAGAGCTAGAACCTGGCTCTGGTTCCCAGTAGGTCAAACTGAGCTTCTATGACTGATATTACCCATTAGCTTGGAGCAATATCGGCTACATAGCTTCATGAAGGCAGAATGAACATCTTCATTCTGGGCCTTACCAGAATGAGATGTTTCATTACATTCAGCATAGATTTTTTTTTACCACAAAATATCTATGTAAATTAAGTGTATTTCATATGCTGAAAAAATGCAGTACTTTAATCATTAATAGTACTGTACTATGGTACTGTACTTAGTATTTTCTAAGCATCTAAATTGACAATTGACCTTTGGGTTGCTTTACCTCACTAATCCCAAGAATGTCACATACGCTCACACAATGGAGACTGTGTGTGTGTGTGTAATGTTATCATACATGCTCACACGGAGACAACAGGGAGTGTGTTAACACAATGCGGACCTCACAGGCAACATGTCAGTCAAGTGTTCCACGTAAATCATTAAACCGTGAATCCTTGTTGCCCCGTTATCTGTTTTGGTGTCAGAGATTTGAAGGATAGGGATTTTATTCTTTTTTTCTAGAAGAGAGGAGTTGCTGAATTTAAGGTTGTATGCAACATAGGGTAATTTTGGGATTGAAGATCTTGTGGAAACTCTGCACTCCTGGAAACATGAAATATTAATAGATTTAGTAGTTTGTGATGTAGGTCAGGCACTTTATTTCCAATGGTGAGATGTTCTAACATTATAGTTTACTTATATGTTGTATGTTTAAATAATCATGTTATCGATCTACAGTATAAGACCAAATATTATAAGATCTATTACATCTGTCTAATCAGCTATGGTATAACTCCAGGCATCTTTCTGAGTATTTTAACATACTGTTCAAGATACCAGAAATTAGGAAGAAAGCCTTTCATGGTACAGAATAACAATGACAACCTCTCTTCCGCACTCACCTCTCAGCCACTATCGACGACTGAACCATGCTGGGGACGGCTCTGCTTCCTTGAGCCAGGTTTTGGGTGACCATAGCCTGCTGACAGTTAACTCAGCTCCCAGCATCATCAGCGCTAACAAGAATCCCAGCCCCAGCACAAAGAACGCTGCCTGTTCAGCATGACAGCATTATTATAGCCAGGCCACCTCTATCAGAATGGGCTCTTCAATTAATGTTATTGTATTCCCCCAATATTGTCCCCCAATAATGTTGAATATATCATTTATTCTGTCAGATTACATTGCCTTGATAGTTATTTTTACCTTATGTATTGAAATAGTAATATATCCAGAAAAAATTAATTAAACCAAATAATAATGTACTGTAGTTAAATAAAAATGATACATTAGTAACATATCAACCATGTAAATAACAAACAAGCTCTCTACTGATGACATCCATAACACCAAATGACAAGACACTAACCCATCATAGATTAGACTTATTTTTTTGCTGTACAAGAAAGTATAATGGGTTTTGTAAACATTTTAGTGTATAGTTTGACTTTGTACAGTATTATAGAAGACTGGAATACACCTGTAGATGGTTATCCCAAGGCCACCCCTCCGTGGTGTCTCTTTGCCGTGGTGAGGGGCTCACATACACCTCCCTGGGACCGGTGAGGGTTGCCTGTGCCCCCTCTCCTGCCCCCTCTTTGGGTGGTGTACGTGCAGAAGGGCACCACGTAGGGGCCTTGTGAGCCATTGGACCACCCGCTGGAAGGGGCCGCCCTGAGTAGATGGTTGGGTGTCCAGGCTGGGGTGATAGGGGGAATGGGGTCTTAGCACCAGTGTGGGAAAATGGATGATGTAATAGGATTCCCCTGTTGAAAAAGGGAAGCACCACTGGGGACGACACACCCTTCCTGCACTGGCCTGCGCTCGGCCTCCCTGGCTGCCCTGGTAGGTGGTATTCCTTGGTTCCAGGTCCCAAACTTTTCAAATGATTGATGCATGGATGATGACACGACTTCTTTTACCCAGGCTCATGGAGTGGGTGACCAGGCCCCTGAGTCAAACTGTGCTGTAAGACCGGGCTCTGTCACCCCTGTTACAGTGCCTGATTTGGGCCCTGACCAGACTACTACTCCCTGCTCCCCTCCCTTGTCTGTTGTAGGGTCGAGCCCCGAGCCCTCTGTGGTGACCGCCTCATCCCCCTTGCACGGCCCCATCTCTCATTGTGACTACTGCGCCTTAAGCCCCTTCTCTCTCTAGAGGCTCGCCACGGCTGCTTCCATATGCTCCCTTCCATACTAATTCGTACCATGCCTTGTTTGGTCCTGCTATGTGGACTAAGTACTTTGACCTCCATCCTTTAGATTCTACTCCTCCTGAGGATTTTTCCATTCATAGGCGCCTTGTTGATTCAGTAGGTGCCTCTGTAACTTTCAACCCCACCCGTCTCGATACACGTGTTGTTGTTGCTCCTTCTCGGGATGCAGCCACCCGCTTGGCCGCCTAATCCTGCATTGGGGAGACCCCTGTTCGGGTCTCCAAGAACACTCGGTTAAATGCCAGTGATGGCACTGTTCTCCTCCCACATCTTGTTGCAACTAGTGTTCTGAATCTCAAGGACTGCCACGAGGATATTAAGCATATCTTCGAAGCCCAATGCCATTCTGTCCTCCAGGTGGACACGTTTATTCACCCCCCTCGTGGTCGTCACTGTCAGCCCCTTCGGGTTATGAAAATTACCTCTGATGGTAGGACCCTTCCGCTCTCAGTCATTCTTGCAGGTGCCAGATGCTCCATTCAGGAGTATATTCCATTTCCTCGGCTCTGTAATAAGTGCTGGAAGTTTGGGGACGAACATCTCTCTGTCTCTCTCTGTTCCATGTGTGGGGTCGAGGGGTCACTCTTAAGTCGAAGTGCACTTCTTCCCAGGCCTGCTGCCTCAATTACGGTGAAGCCCACCCTACCTTCTCCTGCGCGTGTATACATTACAAACTTGAGGCAGCCATCCTCAACTTGAAGCACCGGGAACGTTTGTCTTTTCCGGAGACGAGGTGCCAAGTTCGTTGTCTTTCCCCTTTCACTGGCGTTTCTTATGCTCGCGTGTTGCGCTCTTCCTCTCCTCGTCCTTCCAACCTTCTTCTGTCTCGCAACCATTTCCAGGCCTTAGACCTGGACACGCCCACCGCCTCCTCCCCTGTTCCTTTACGTTTTGTCCCAATAGGTTTCCCCTCCTGGTTCTCTGTCTAGGGTTGTTCTTCTTTCTACCCAGTCTGTCATGTTTCCTGTGTCTTCTTTCTCATCTCCCTCTGATCCTCCTTCCCATCCTTCTCCTACGTCTCTTAGCTCTCCACGCCGCGTCTCTGTGCGGGCTGATGTCCATCACTCTCCCGGAGTTCATCAAGTTGTTCGCTCTCGTTCTTCTTCTGTTGAGACGCTCGAGTCTGTTGCCCAGTATGTTGCTGCTGGGACACCTGTCTCTCTGAATCAGAAGCGAAAGCCTGGCTCATCTCCTTCCTCCTCCCCAGCGGGTAAAAAGGCTTCACTTTCTTCCTTGCCTCCTACCTCTGACACACTCGTTCCATCCCCTCCAGTTTCAGTGGTCGAACCCTCTGTTCCTGCTATGGAGGTTTCTTTGGCCCTCACTTCCCTCTCGGTTGCTGCCCTTACTGAGGTGCACTTCCCTCTTTCTGCCCCTCCTCCTCCTCCTGTCCATGATCGCCCCTCTCGGTTGTCTCCTCCTCCCCCTCCTCCGGATCCTGCTCATCCGCCTCTGGTCTGTCCTCCCTCTCCCTTCCCTGCATCTTTACTTGGTTTGCCCATGCCCCCTAACCCTGACCTCACTGACCCTGATCCTAACTCTGTGCTTCTTTAACGTGCTGTGTTCCTTTTTCACCTTTGTTTCTTCATTGTTCTCTGTTGCTGTCCTTTCTCTTTTTGTCGATGTCTATTCCTCAGTGGAACATTCGTGGATATTACGCCAATTTTCTTGACCTCCATCTTCTGATTTCACAGTTTTCGCCCCTTAGTGTCTGTCTCCAGGAGCCGATGCTTGGTGCTCGACTTGGTCGCTTCTGTGGCTATTCCTTTCTCTCCTCCCCCCCCCCCCAGCAACAGCTGGGGTCCATAACTCTTCTGGTCTCTTGATTCGCTCTGATGTTCCCTTCGTACCCTTACTTTTTCCATCGCCTCTACAATGTTCTGCTGCCCGTGTCTTTGTGCGTAAATGGTACACAGTTTGTTCCATTTATCTCCCCCCCCCCCCCCCAAATCTCCCGCTTTCTCTTCCCGATCTTAAACACCTACTGGACTCCTTGCCGGAGCCTGTGCTCCTGCTGGGTGATTTCAATTGTCGATATACCTTTTAAGGTGATGTTCTGACAAACACCCAGGGTCGCTTTTTCGAACCGTTCATCGTCTCTTCTTCCCTGTCTCTTCTGAATTCTGGTGAGCCCACTCATTTGGACTCTCGGACTCGCACCCTTTCCTGTCTTGATCTTTCTCTTTGTTCGTCGTCTCTTTACTAAGATCTCCAGTGGCGGGTTCTTGATGACCTCCATGGCAGTGACCATTTTTCCATCCTTGATTCCTTTATTCTCTTCACCCTCCCCTCTCCTTCCCTAGGTGGGGGTTTGCCGAGGCTGACTGGCGCCTCTTTACCCTCAGTGCTACTATTTCCGACCTCTCCATTCTACCTTTCCCTCGCGCCCTCCACCTTTTTCATGACACTGTCTTTGACACTGCCCTCTGCTCTATTCCTCGCTCTTTCTCTCGGAGGAACGCAGAAGTGCGTTCCCTGATGGAATGTGGACTGTGCTCGGGCTGTCCGCTGTAAGCGTGCAGCCTGGAAGAGAGACTGCCGCCAGTTGAGTCTTTTCTTTTGTTTCGGAAGGCGAGTGCGGTGACCCGTAGGACCATCCGTACAACTAAACGTGAGTGTTGGATGTCTTATGTCTCTACCATTATGTCCGAAACTCCTCTGCCACAGATCTGGAAGCGTATCTGCAAGATAGTGGGTAAGTTCGTTCCCAATGTCTCGCTGGTCCTTCACCTCCGTGGTACTCTTGTGGCGGACCCGTTGCAGGGCGCAACCGAATTAGGTTCCCACTTTTCATCTGTTAGCTCTGGTTCTCATCTTCCTCAATCTTTCCTTCTTCGTAAACCTCTTCTTGAATCTCGACCTTTAGATTTCTGTACCCATCTCAGCCTTTCCTATAACGATCCCTTCTCTCTCTCTCTCTCTCTGAGCTTCAGTCTGCCATGGCCCTCTGCGATTCTACAGCAGCGGGCTCCGATGGTATTCATTATGAGATGCTTCACCATCTCCCTCCGTGCACGTCTCGGTATTTACTGAGTCTGTATAATAGGGTCTGGGAGTCATCTTCAGTCCCTGAGGACTGGCTCGATGCTGTTGTCCTCCCAGGGTCTTCCCTGGGTCTTCCGGGACAGGAAGGGTCCCAGGAAGCCAGGGTCTTCCGGGACATCGCCTAAAGATTTCCGCCCTATTGCCCTCACGAGTTGTGTCTGCAAGCTCTTTGAACGTATGGTTAACGTTCGTCTGATGTGGTTCTTAGAACACTATCATCACCTCTTCCCTTCTCAATTTGGTTTTCGCAAGTGCCGCAGCACGACAGATGTCTTGGTGAACTCGGAGGTCTATATTCGTACTGCTTTTGCTGCGAAGACCTCAGTTGTTGCTGTCCTTTTTGACCTGGAAAAGGCTTACGACACCACCTGGTGGTATCATATTCTGTCCAAACTTCATTCTTTTGGCCTTCGTGGGAATCTCCCTCTCTTCCTCCAACATTTCCTCTCTCGTCGTTCCTTTCGAATGAGGCTTGGTACCACTCTCTCTGCCCCTTTTAGGCAATATGAGTGTGTACCTTAAGGTAGTGTTCTGAGCACTACTCTTTTTCTTGTTGCTCTCAATGGTCTTCTTTCTTCCATTCCTTCTGGCGTCTTCTCCGCTTTCTATGTCGATGATCTTACCTTTTGCTGTCAGGGTGATGATTCGCCTCTCCTTCAACGGCGGCTTCAACTTGCGATTGATGCCATGCCCTCTTGGGCCACCGATCATGGCTTCAAGTTCTCTATGTCTAAGACTTGTGCTATGACTTTTACTCGGAAGCGTGACGTTCTTCGTCCCTCTTTGTCGCTTTATGGTCATCCCCTTGTGTACAGGGATTCCGCCAGGCTTTTAGGGTTAATCTTTGACACTAGTTTGTCTTGGTCGCCCCATATCTCTTACCTCTGAGTTGAATACTCTAAGGCCCTTACCCTCCTTAAGGTTTTGTCCCATACTTCTTGGGGGGGGGGCAGATAGGCGCACGCTCCTCTCTTTTCATTCCTCTCTCGTCCTTTCTAAACTCGATTATGATTGCCCTGTTTACTCGTCTGCTTCTCCTCCTACTCTTTGCCGTCTTGATGCTTTGCACCATACTGGGTTGCGCCTCAGCTCTGGTGCCTTTTGTTCGACTCCCGCCCTCAACTTGTATGTTGACACTGGCTTCCTATCTCTTCAGGACCGCCGTGATCGCTACTGTCTTTGTTATCTTGCTCGGTCCTTGCAACATCCTTCCTCTCGCCTCTGTCGTACTTTCACTTTTACCTGTCCTGTAGTTTCTGTTCCTCTTCGCCACCTCCCTCTTTCTGTCCGGCTATCTCACTTACAGGATTCTCTTTCAGTTCGTATTCTAATGTTTCTCCTTGTATTTTTCCTTCCTTGCCCCCGTAGAGAGTCCCCCTTCCAAAATTTTGTACATCCTTGACCCGCATCACTAAAGCTTTTACCCCTCCTAAGGTTCTGAAACGCCTTTTCCTTGAGCACTTTCCTTCGCACTCCCACTCCGTTTCTATCTTCACCGATAGGTCTAAGTTTGCGGATGGTGTAGGCTACTCTGTTGTTTTTCCTGACCGCACTTATATGCGTCGCCTCCCTTCGGAGACTAGCATCTTCACAGCGGAACTTTATGCTATTCTCTATGCTCTCCGTCTCTTGCTTTCTCATTGTCATTCCTCCTTTGTGGTTGTAGTTGACTCTCGTACTGCCCTCATGGTTCTAGGGTCCTTTAATCCTGTCCATCCAGTGGTTGTCGAGATTCAACGTTGACTGTTTCTTATCTCTAGTAAATTTAAATCCGGAGAGTTTTGCTGGGTTCCCAGCCATATTGGTGTCTCTTTAAATGAGTGTGCAGATGCTGCCGTTAGAGAATCTATCCACTCTTGTCCCATCTCCCGTAAAGGTATTTCTTATTCTGACTTATCCAGTTATTCATTCCTCCATCCTTGCCCGTTGGCAGGATTGTTGGTAATAAACTGCATAGTCTTAAGCATAGTGTCCCCCCGTGGCCTTCTTCCTGCCACCGTAACCGACGCTGGGAAACGGCTCTAGCAAGGTTGCGTATTGGTCATACTCGCTTACCTCATGGTCACTTAATGGAGCGCCGCCCTGCTCCTTATTGTCCAAATTGCATTGTCCCCTCTTACAGTCGTACATATCCTTGTTGGATGTCCTGACTTCCAGGACGAGCGTGTGTCTTGTTTTCCGACAGTCCCACACGGTCACTTGACCCTTGATAGAATTCTTGGTGAATCGCATACTTTTGATATCGTTCGCCTTGTGAGTTTCTGTTCTCGTATCGGCATCCTTGGTGATCTTTAGCGCCCATTGATTATTTTGCACATTTGATGGTGCTACATAGCCTTCCCGATTTGGTGCCTTATTTTGATAATTAATTAATTACTCATCCCAAGACCATGTGTAGCATCACTCTACCTGATGATGATTTTGAGAGAGCTTTTACTCCCACCGTCTGGCCTGTGACTAGTGTTCCCTGGTGATTGTCTGATCTGTGGGGCTTTGTAACTCGCAAGCCCATAAAGCCATCATAGTATGATTGATCAGGCAACTCCAGCAGAAGCCTTTCCAGTTCTCTCTTAAAGCTTTCATGGTAGTCCTTGTTGATGGTGGAGGATGAGAGGCAAACATATAATAGCACACTTACCTGTACATGCTTCATAGAGATGGCTGAAGGCCTCCTGTCCAGGGTGGAGTCCCAAGAGGAAGACCCACCAGAGATTTTACTTATCTCCTGCTCCTTCCATTGCATGATGAGCCCAGCTTCTGATATACGTCTCAACCTGTCCCAGTGAGAGAGTTACAATTTTACACCATGTTAGGAACCCAGAGTGTAACAATATAGTATTTTATATTATTGTTTAAGACAAAGAATGTTAGTCTTTTGGAAGTCAGTGTAGACAAGGACAAGGCCATATGCTTGATCACCCATCCTATTTAGCTACTGGCTTGTCCCAACAGAGTTTAACCTGACCAAGCAAGTTATGTATTCACATATTTGTGCTTGCTCTTTCGGCCCGCCTCTCAACTGTTAATCAATCAACTGTTACTAATTCTCTCTCTCTCTCTCTCTCTCTCTCTCTCTCTCTCTCTCTCTCTCTCTCTCTCTCTCTCTCACTCACTCACTCACTCACTCACTCACTCACTCACTCACTCACTCACTCACTCACTCACTCACTCACTCACTCACTCACTCACTCGCTCGCTCGCTCGCTCACAGAGAGAGAGAGGGGGGGCTGGTGGCTGAGCGGACAGCACGCTGGATGCGTGATCCCGTGGTCCCGGGTTCGATTCCGGGCGCCGGCGAGAAACAATGGACAGAGTTTCTTTCACCCTGATGCTCCTGTTACCTAGCAGTAAATAGGTACCTGGGAGTTAGTCAGCTGTCATGGCTGCTTCCTGGGGTGTGTATGGTGTGAAAAAAAATAGTAGTAACAGTTGAGAGGCGTGCCGAAAGAGCAGAGCTCAACCCCCACAAGCACAACTAGGTCAATATACATACACATGCACACACTCACACACACGCATGCATGCACGCACACGCGCGAAACAACCCGTAGCAGCTGTCTAACTCCCAGGAATCTATTTACTGCGGGTAATAGGCACATCAGGGTTAAGGAAACTCTGCCCATCTGTCTCCGCCGGGTGCGGGGATCGAACCCCGGTCCCTAAGTCCAAGAGTCTACAGCAGGGCCCCCCCCCCCCTCTCCACGTTGCTGAAATTATCCAATGAAAAGCAACGCCAATACACATGGTTCCAGCACCGTCGCAGGAGCTGCCAGAACGAGATCGAAGACGACAACGAACTTCCTTAGAAGCTCCAACTCCAGATTTTTCCTCGAGGTTGATTCCTGAAGCCTTTCCCAAAATAGGGGTATGGCCGCAAGGCAGCAGAGGTTTAGAATCAGGGTTTTCCTTTCCCTAGATGAGCTGCCTTCCCAGGCTAATGAGTCCCATCTACCCGGAGCAGCTGGTTTAAGGCGCCAGAGGCACGCCCTCGCCCCTTCTCCTGTCAGTAAAAGTAGTTCCGCCGGACTTAAAGACTAAACCTCCCGTGCAGGCCAGAAGTTAGACTTGGTTGTCAGAGGCTATTGGAGACGCACGCCATACGGGAGCTTTATATAAGTCATGGGAGCTCGTTCCCCATTACCACCCCTTGGAACCGGATAGATAATAAATGGACACTGTTTTTAGCAGAAAAGCGGCGCTGTTTCTGGCGGGAAAATAATAGTAAAGATTAAATTAAGAAAGATGGTAATTAATGTGAAATATGCAAGCATTTTTAATTAAGTACAATATACATGGCATACCATATACAGTACAGTATATAGTATTGGAAACCACTCACATCTGGTTAAATTTGGGGAGGAATGGAGAGCCTTTGTTGCAGGCGATGCCATACGCCTGGGGGTAGAAGGTCTGGCGGGCCATGTAGAACTTGCGGCGGCCCTGCTGGGCGGCCCGCACCTCGGAGTTGAGCTGGGAGTTGATCAGCACAAACTTCTTCTCAGCCAAGATCTGCAGCACCCGGGCGAGATTAAAACTGGGTGATCATAGTTTTGGTGAAGGGTAGTTGCTGTTTGTCAGGTTCTACATGAGTAGTGTGCCCATCTCTGTCCAACTCTGCTAGCTATGAAACACCCTCGTAGTGACACCTTTATGAAACTCCTCCGTAGCGACACCTTTATGAAGTACCTCCATAGCAACACTGCAAAATTTCCATAGCGGCACCTTCATACCACACCATATATTACCATCATGACAGCACAATGACAATATACCTTAGCAAAGCCCAGGTCGGGGCTCCTGAAGAAGCTCTTGGAGCGGTCCTTGTGGTTGAAGAGCTGCCACACCTGCTTGTAGATGCCCTCCGTCGCCTCCTGCAGCAGTGCACACGTGTTAAGACATGCACAAATGCCATGTTATGGAATGTGGCATCTGAGAAAATTAGACCACACACAACATACAAATTATGTGGGAAGGAATTAATGAACTCTAATAAAGAACGAGACCTAGGGGGAGAGGGAGGGGCTTTTGGATAGTAAACTGTCAACAGAGGAACACAGACACAACATTGTGCGAGGAGCGTATGTGTCGCTTTCATACTTCAGACTTGTTTTTAATTACGGTATATGGATGATGAAATACTAAAAAAAAACATGATTTTGATGTTCACTATTCATGAGTTTTGCCATGAACAGTGGGCAGAACAGAAATCTGCCCGTAGTAGGAAGGCAGCATGTAAAGGATTTGGGAATAATGAGGTCTGACGACCTAATGTTTAGGGAGCATAACCAAGCAAGTATTGCGTCCGTCAGAAAATGATAGGAGGGCTTACGAAAACTTTCAAATCCAGGGATCCCATCACAATGGTTGTACTATACAAATCAATTGTGTTGTCCTGTCTTGAGTACTGCTCAGCACTCTCTTCCCCCGTTCAAAGCTGTCTTTAGTCTCCGTGGTGTAGTGGTAAGACACTCGCCTGGCGTTCCGCGAGCGTTTTGTCATGGGTTCGTATCCTGGCTGGGGAGGATTTACTGGGCGCAAATCCTTAAATTCTTATCTCGGAGTGGGTGCGCTTGGACGTGGTCAAAACGACAACGTCTCTCGGATGGGTTTCCCGTCTGTTCCCAGTCCTGAAACGGGACTGTGCGGACCTGCGGTTCATTCTGGACTTGTCCCGTCTGAACCCCTGGGTTCTTTTCCCCTCCTTTCGGATGACTACTCTGTCCCAGGTCCGGTTTCTGTTGGAGTCGGGCGCTT